ATAATGTATTTCTAGTTCAACTCTACCCACCTCTGCCTTCAACACCACAATAACCCTCATTTTTTAATAAGTAGTAGGAATCATTATCAGGAGAGATGAGAAGAGAGCCTATGAATGGTACTGTCATTTGTCCTCCAGTATTTCATGCAGCTCTTATCTTTCTTTTGTGAACGCTTGATATTGATGCCTATGTAGCCCTGTCCAATAAACACTTGAAACTTCAATGTGGGTAATGATACTCTTGATATCTTGGCCATAGGAATATTGCTTGGAACCGGAACCATATATGTCTTTCCAAAGTCCAGCCTAAATACAGGGATGCTACATAGAGACTATGGGGAAGGTAAAGAAGTTCTCTTCTTAAGTATCTAACTATTCCAACACTCTCTTGTGAGGATCCTTTTTTTGATGCCACCTAACAAAATTGCTCTCATTAAAGTCACCAGTGGCCTCCTAATGGTTAAAATCAATGATCTAGTTTGAGACTTCATTCTACTTGATCTTTCTTTAGCAGTTGATATAGCTGACCAAACTTTTGTAAAACTTTTTTTTTCTCCTCACTTCCATGTGATTATTCTCTAAAGCATTTTCTCCTTCTTGTCCTACCATTCCTTTGTAATTTCCTTAACAGAATTTCCCACCCCTGTTTGTTTTAAACAAACAAACAAAACCCCAAAACATTAGTGTCCTTCTGGGTTGTGTTCTGTTTTTGGTCCTTTTCTCTTCTCTCTGAACTATCTCATTCATAGCCTTCTCCCACACCCAAGCCCTAATAACTCTCATGTCTCTATCTCCAGATCCACATTTCTAACTTACGACTAAATATCTTTGCCTGGATGCCCTGCAGGCATCTCAAACTTAAAATGCCCAAAACTTATCTTCCCCTCCACCTCCTCTACAACCCACTCCTCCTCCTTTATTCCCTATCTCAGGGAGCGGTACCACTATCGACCCAGGAACCCAAGTCAGAAACCTGAGTGTCATCCTCAATGCCTCTCTCTCCACATTCAATGGACCATTAAGTCCTCTTAACTTAATGTTAGAAGTGTTTCTGCAATCCAGTCTCTCTCCTCTTGCCCCCCAGTAGCCTTCCCACAAGTTCTCATCAGTATTGTTATCAACAATAACATCTTAGCAAGCCTTCCCTACTACCAGGCTCTGTCATTTCCAATTCTTTCTTTAGAACAGAGGCCATCAGCCTTAGGGATTTCACTGTTCAGAAAAGTTAAAAAAAATGGCTCTGAGAACTGACATACTGTGGCCTTTTTAAAAAAATTTTGTCAGGGCACAAGAAAACAACATCATCTATTCTCACTGTCATTTCATAACAATAATTTTAAAAGACTATTCAACTTCGAAAAATAGAAAGTACCATACTCTCATAATAGAAAACAGTTCTTTAAATATATTTCGATTTTTAAATGAAACACATTTTCCTGGATGGGAACCACTGCTCTAGAATCTAGACTGCTAACAGACTGATCTTTCTTTCAAAATGTAAAAATGACCATGTTTCCTTTGCTTGAAAAAATCTCTGCATGTATTATATAAGCATTTAAATTCACCTACATAATCTACAGGCATATCATTATACTGGCTTCTAATGGCTACATAGGATTCATTGTGTTGACTTGCGACTGGCATGTGTGTTGTGGTCTTCTATTTTAGGCATTTTTTAAAATATTAAAATTTAAATATCCCTTGTCACATATCACCTCGAAGCCTTACAATAAAAGCCATACTCTTTAGGATAACACATGAGGGCCTTTACAATCTGGTCTCAATTTACTTACTCCCCATCAAGAATGTCCCCTAAACACGTCACATTCTTTCATGTCTTTATGCCAGTGGTTCTCAACTGGGAGCAATTCCTTGCCCCTTTCTCCAAGGGGACATTTGGCAATGTCTGTTTTATGATCTGAATTGTGTTGCCCACAAAATTTTATATGTTGAAGCCCCAACCCCCAATGTGATTATATTTGGATATATATACACATCATACTATCTATACATTTTTAAATAGTTAGATAGCATTTTTTTAACCATAAAGATATGAAAAAAATCCTTAGTGTTTCTCTTAATGTCAAGCAATCAAAGCTTTCCCAATTTTTTTCTTAATATATTTCCTGTTAATCCATTGCCAAAGGTCACATAATAATAAGTGTGCCTTGGGATATCCAGGCCATCATACAATCCACACAAATGGAAAATTTTCAATGTCATGGCTAACAAAGTCATGTTAGCTAACACAACACTATTGTGTTGGACATTGTGCTATCATAGTGCTTTCTCTCCGTTTTGAAATTTAATCTCCATATCCTATGATGTGATACTATTATTATCCTCATTTTACAAATATGGAAACTGAAATTTGGAGAGATTAACTGATTTGTCCAAAGCCATACCACTATCAAGGACTTCAAAGAAAATAAGGCTGGGACTAATTATGTTGTCTATTTTGGAATCAAGATTTTCTCAGCAAAAATACATTTTTTGGACAAAATAATAAATATGTTTTATTACAATGCATTGATTTTATAACGGGAAAAGTATCTCTCTAAGGGAAAAAATCCTTATTTTTGTCTGCTTATCTAGTTAACCATCTGAGACAAAATGATTTCATATAATTAGCTAGAAAAAATATTCTAACCTCTGCTGGTATTGAGTTACATTTATTACAGGTTCTCTTAGCTTCTTAGGTTTTCAACATTTCTCATTCCTTTACACCATTCAATTTCCTTTTGTAGAGTAAAACAAATGAAGAAAAATGATGAAAATAAGGAGTGTCATGGGCTGTTATTTTAAGTATAGCTACTTAGCTACCTCAAATTCTGGAGGTTCCTAGAAAATAATGATCCAGCAAATATCCACTACCATACTGTTAAGCTATGTATCATTTTTTACTACTATCCTAAGGTTTATTTTCTTGCCTCTTTTCAGGAAAGAAAGAGAGAGAAGCAGAGTACAATCCCTTTACCCAGAAAGTGTATTTTGTTTTATCATTGTATTTTTGCATCCTATTTTTTTTTTCATTGAACAAACTTTACTTTGACATTGATACTTCTGTAGATCAACTTATACCTCAAGCACCCCTTTGTCAAAATTCATCTATCAACCCTATAGGTTCTGTCCCTCAGGATCCTGTGTCTGCTGGACCCAGTCTGAGGTAGTAGCCATGGCACAAGTGTTCCTAGAACTTACAGAGGAACTGGGAAGATTCACAACAAAGCTTAAAGGCATTTTTCTTTTCTTTTTTTTTTGTGAGGAAGACCGGCTCTGAGCTAACATCCATTGTCAATCCTCCTCTTTTTGCTGAGAAGATAGCTCTGAGCTAACACCTGTGCCCATCTTCCTCTATTTTGTATATGGGACGCCACCACAGCATGGCTTGATGAGTGGTATGGCGGTCCAGGCCCAGGATCTGAACTTGCGAACCCCAGGGCCTCCGAAGCAGAACTGGCGAACTTAACCACTATGCCACCGGGAGGGAAAGGCCTTTTTGCTATAGTAGATTGTACTTATAAGGATGTTACAAAGCTTCTGGCGGTAGCTTGGCACCTCAACAAGGGTGAGCTTTGATTCCTCCTGAAGTTGACTAGCCACATTCTTGCCTCCAATCTGAAGATCTTTTAGACCCTTTAAAAATTCCTCAGCTTGGTGATGGACTAACTTGGAACAGAAAAGAATTAATAAATGACATAAGGGAAGTTTAGCAACTTATTTTGTTCCTATTTATTTACGTCTGCCTTATTGAATACTAAACTTTCTTGAGGGCATGGATTTGTGTCTCATTCATTTTTGTATCTTCCACCAAGAAAAATTATTTCTAGTCTACAATCAATAAATATTTACCGAACTGATTTGAAATTTCAACTAGGAAGGCAGAATACAGAATTAATAAACTTTTGGTGTCTGATGACCTGGGTTTGGATTCTAACTCTGCTATTTACTTGCTGTACGACCTGGTGCAAGTTACCAAAACTCTCTAACGCTAATTTCCTCAACTCAAAAGTGGATTAAATGAGATAATGAATGTAAAGTACTTGTCACTTCTTAAGCGCTATTTATACAATGAGTATCTACTGAGCTACTACTACGCTCTGGGTTAGAGGTAGGTGCTGGTGACAGAGTACAAAATACACGATGTTCCTATCTTTATGGAGCTCACTGTAGCTGGGGAGACGGACACAGAACAAAAAATCACACAAAGAAATTAATTACAAGTTGCCATGAAAAAAAGTTAAGAATCCAGCGACAGGTTGTAACAGCAGGGCCTAATTTAGATTGTTGAGGACGGATTCTCTGAGGGAGTCACATTTAAGCCGAAACTTGAAGGATGAGGAGAGCCTCTATTTCCTCACCTCCACTCGTTCCTCGTCTCTCATTAGTCTGGCTTCCATCTCCCTACCTAACTAGCTCTTGCTAAACTCACTAATGGCTTCCCTGTGACTATATACACCTGCCGTTTTTCAGTCCTCTTACTTGACCTCTTAGCCACACTCAATGCAGTTGATCACTCCCTCCTTGAGTGACACGTTGTCTCCCCTCGGCTTCTCTAATAATAAGGGCCTCCTGCTCTCCTCCTCTCTGACAGCCTCTTCAGTCCCCTTTGCAGGTTCATCTCCTTAAGTGCCTGGACGGCCTCGCCGTGAGGTGTAATTGTGAATAACAACGCAGTCCTTTGGAGTCATAAAAAGGAGTGTGTACAAGTGAACACATTTTTTAGCCCCTCTGTTCGCTTCCGGTACGTTTTACGAATGTAAAACTTTTCGGTTCCACAGAATCTCCCCTCTCTCTTGCCGCCTGCCCCTGCCCACCGGGCAGGCACTAGCGTTCAACTTGACCGCACGCGGGCAACGCCCGAGGCGCGGGACGGAACAGTCATCCCATCCGGCCCCAGCCAACCGCAACCAGGCCCGCCCGCACCCCGTTTCAAGCGCCGCCGGGCCGCCCCCGCCTCAGGCGAGCCGGGTACCCGTCCGCGCTCCACCACCGAAGTCGAGTCTTCCGCCGTCCCAGCATTCCCTGCAGCCCGACCATCGAGAGCGGCTTCCGGCGTCGCGGGTGTAGGCGGGTGAAGAAGGAGCGGGCCTTCGCGGCTCTCACTCCCTCGCGCTCTCTCGGGCAACATGGCGGGTGTGGAGGAGGCAGCGTCCTCCGGGAGCCACCTGAATGGCGACCTGGATCCAGACGACAGGGAAGAGGGAGCTGCCTCTACGGCTGAGGAGGCAGCCAAGAAAAAAAGACGGAAGAAGAAGAAGAGTAAAGGGGCTGCCACGGGTAAAAGGAGTTGTATGTCTTCAGGGTCCCCACCAGGGATGGCCGAATGGCTCGCCTCAGGCCCGGCTGGGGTGACAGGGACTGGCGACTCGGAGCCTTGGAGTGGACTGATTCCCAGGACTGAGCGTGCGTCAAGGCCGGGTTACAGAGTCCCAGTCCCAGGGAGAGGCAGCTTCTTCTCTTGTGGGACTGGGAGCCGATGATGGCGGGGCGGGGGAGATAAGGGGGCGTCAGCTTCTCGTGAGGTAGTTCTGGGGTCGCTGGGCCCGAGCCCCTGTATTGCCAGCACTCAGCTCCCACGTAGACCGTGCACAGGGCCCAGTCCTGCCGCCTTCCTCGCGGTTTGGCCTTCTTTTCAAAAATCTGATTCTGACCCACGCTGCCGCCCCTTTTGGGGAGCAGCCTGGGACGTATTTTCGTCGAGGGTGGGGGTGGAGTGGGTAAGTCTTGGTGCCTTGACCGCACCTCCCCCTCCGCCCCCCCCCGTCCCGGTGCACAGAGGGATTTTGGTTGCCGGCTGCACTTTTGGGGTGTGTGTAAATGTGTGGATGCCCACGCGCTCGTGTCGCCGAGTAGTAATTGCAGAATGTGTGGTGGTGGTGCGAGTTTTCACCTGCCTAATCTCACAGCATCGTCAAGCTGTAGGGCTTTTAGGTCTGAATTATGATGCCACTAGCAGGCAGTCCAGATGGGATATTCTGTGGCTCGGAATGGAACTTCTCTAAATCCACTGGTAAGGAGGGAAAACAGCTGCAAGTTTACTTGGGTTGTGAGTTAGGAACTTAAATATTTTATTTTGGGAAATCAGTGTTTTTGTTGCACACTGTCCTTCATTTTAGGAAAAGTTATTTGTATCTGTTTCTAATTAAAATCAGCCATAGCAAGAATGAGAGACAAATGGAGAGGCCAGGCCAGAAGTGATGAAGGTAGAGTTGAGAGAGGTTGGAGAGGTTTAATCTATATCTTTCTGAAATTTTTATCAGATGGGAGTTGAAAGGGAGAGTTGTAGGTGCTGGGACACGTCCAGAACAAAACTGAATTCCAGGACACAGTCTGGTGACTGTTCCTGGTTTTTGGATGAAATTCAAACTCTTCAGTTTGTCCTTTAAGGTGTTGAGCAGACTGACCCTAATATGCTTTTAACGGTTGTTATCTGTGAATATGAATCCTCTGCAGTGGCCAGAATGTCACTTCGTTATGTGCTCCCTGGTAGTACTGTCTCGTTTTGCGCTCACGTACTGCTACTACAGCTAGATTGTAGTCACTTCCACAGCAGGGGCCTGGTCTTGTGCTGAGCTGTTGAAGAATTTTGGTTTTTAGTAATGGAATATCTTTTCCTATTTATTTTGATTTTACCCAAACCATCTTGACAACTTCTTCCTTCGTGAAGCCCTGAAACCCCAGTGTCCCACAGAAATCCTCTTACTAAGGCCTTCAGCATTTATTGCCTATCTTGAGTACCTGTTTGCTTAGCAAAGTATTTGTTGTAGTCTGATAAATACTTAAAAAACTACTTAAGGGAGGGACCAACACACACTTTTGTTTACCCTGTAGCTGCTAGCAGAGAGAATGTATTATGGATATTTTTGTTGAGTTGACAACACTAATTAGATATGGATTATTTTTCTCTGTCAAATAAATTCCATTATGTTCAGAATAATGTTTCTGTTTTTGTTTCCTGAACACTTATCAGAACAGGACTTGTGTGTTTTCCAGGATCCTTAGAACATATTCCAGTGGGAAAGTATCTTTATTAGATTTGATTTATGTTATTGTATTTGATCAGCAGGGCAACAGGAACCTGATAAAGAATCCGGAGCCTCAGTTGATGAGGTAGCAAGACAGTTGGAAAGACAAGCATTGGAAGAGAAAGAAAGAGATGATGACGATGAAGGTAAATGGTTAATTTGATCTTTGTGGTTAGAAAAGCAAGAAAATATGACATTCTTTTGAACAAAATCTACTTATTTGTCCATATAGTCTATTATTCTCTCACATTTTACTTAATTGACGTTAAAGCCTCAATTAATGTCACAGAAAGGAAAAGGTATTTATTAGCAACTCTTTAAAAATTTGATATGTTGAATGACTGCTCAGATAACACAGATCTCAACTTTTAAAAATATACTTGGTAAAAGGCCAAGTAGTGGGTGAGTATTAATAAGATAAAATTGAAGGACTGTTTATTTAACTAACATTTATTGAACTACTGATATGTGCTAGTAACTATCCTAGGATACTTTCACACACATTCTAATTTTACCCCTGAAAAACCAAGCAATGTGGGTGCTACGTAGCACCTGATTCCAAGTCTATTCTTTTTACTCTGTACCAAAGGTTCCTCTCTTTATTCTCAAAGGAGCATGTTGGAGTGTTTCTAAACTCTATTATAAATTCCTTGACTCTAGCTTCTTGTATTTTGGTGAAGGAGTGATTAAATTATTATTCTACAGCCTCTTTTGGCAGGGGGGCAGATGGGGCTTTTTCATTCTCAATTATCCACTGCTGTGACCTACTGCTCTACCTCAGGCACTGCCAGCTTGGGCTTATGCCTTCCAACCCTTAGCAACAAATACCTGCTGTACTTTAATTATTGTATTAGGATAATGCAGAGTGATTGTTTTTCTTTTAGAAAGATATGTTCTAGACCCATATGTGTAGACTATCACAGTGCTAATCTTGAAGAGTATGCCTTGTTCCATTGCACCACTACCAAGTTTTATAAATCTCTTGACACTGAAGGGGAAAATTTTGCTTGTTAGATTGGAAATCTTCAGTGTATTAATGAAGATTTTAGGAATGTTAGTAGTTTCCTCCAATTTGGGTTAATCATTTTCCTAGTTCATTTTGATAATCAGGATCAACCAGTGCTACTAATCTATTGTGAGAGGTCTTTGAGGGGATGGAAAGCTAGTATTTCAGAATCTTTGTTGTAAAGAAAAACTGATGGTGTAGTGGAGAGACAAAACATAGAGGTGAAAAGATATACTGGTACCTGCAATAAAGTTTATTGAAATTTGGAGGTGGAGTTGTGGGCTGAATGCTGAAGGAAGGCTTCTTGGAAGGAATGGCATTTGAATAAAACCAAACAGAAGAAACCATTTTGGCCATGGTGGAACAATGCTGAGAAAGTATTCAAAGCATAGTGAACACTGCAAACTGGCCATGTGAAATGATTCATTGAGAGAGTCTGAGCGTTTTTAAAAGAAGAATGTTATGAAAAATAAGGAGAGGCATTAGTAGACTCTAGGGTTTTGAACTTGGGTGACAGAATGTTGGTGCTGTTGACTGAACTAGTGAAGTAGAGAGAGAGAGCTCGTTACGAGATTTGGGGAGGGGGTTTGTAGGCAAAGAAGATACTGAGTTTAATTTTAGATATGTTTAATTTGAACCTTGGGGTATTGGTGTGAAAAATTAATCCTGTGGGCATTTGGTAATGTGCTAGAGGTAATTCATTCAATACATTTTTAAGTAAGGTTTATTAAGGTATAATTTGCCTGGGATAATAGTCACCATTTTTAAAAAATAGACTTTATTTTCTAGAGCAGTTTTAGGTTCACAGCAAAATCGAGCAGAAGGTATGGAGAGTGCCTGTATACCCCCTACCTCCACACATGCATAGCCTTCCCATTAGCAGCATCCCCCACTGGAGTGGTACATTTGTTAAAATCGATGAACCTACATTGACACATCATTGTCACCCACAGTCCATTATTTACATTACGTTTTACTCTTGATATTGTACATTCTATATATTCACCCTTTCTAAGTGTATAGTTTGGTGAATTTTGACAAATTTTGCAAATGCATAACCACTACCACAACCAAGATGTAGAATATTTCCATATAACATTTCCATCTCACGGAAAAGTTCCCCGGTGCCCCTTTGTAGTCAGTTCTCTTGCTCCACACCCTGACTCCTGGCAACCACTGATATATTTTATGTTCCTATAGTTTTTTCTACAATATTACATAAATGGAATTATTACAGTATGCAGCTTTTTTTGTGTCTGGCTTGTTTCACTTAGCATAATACTTTTGAAAGTCATCCACTTGTTGCATAGTTCAGTAGTCCATTCCTTTTTATTGCTGAGTAGTATTCCAAATTTGTTTATCCATTTACTAGTTGGTGGATATTTGAGTTGTTTCCAGTTTTTGTCTGTTATGAATAAGGTTACTGTGAACATCTGCATACAGGTCTAGGTGTAGGAATATGTTTTCATTTCTTCTGGGTAAATACCTAGGAGTAGGGTTGTTGGTCATGGTAAGTGTATGTTTAACCTCATGGGAAACTATCAAACTGTTTTCCAAAGTGGGTGTACCATTTTGCATTCCTGTCAGCAGTGGTTTAGAGTTCCAGGTCCTTTGTATCTTCATAAGCACTTGGTATTGTTCGTTTTTTTAATTTTAGCCTTTCTAGTAGGTGTATAGTGATATGTCATTGTGATCTTAATTATATTTCCCTAATGACTGATGATATTGAACATTTTTTCATATTTTCATTTTCCATTCATGTATCTTTGGCGAAGTGTTTGTTCACATTTTTTGTCCATTTTTCAATTGGGTGATTTGTTGTCTAAATGAGTTGTAAGAGTTCTTTATATATTCTTGTTACAAGTTGTTTATCGGATGTATGTTTTACAGATATTTTCTCCCATGCTGGTGTTATTTACAGTAGAAAAGATTTTAATTTTGGTGAAGTCCAGTTTATCTGTTTTTTTCCTTTATGGGTCATGCTTTTTGTGGCCTATCCAAAAGGTTAAATAATTGCTGTCTCTAAGGTTATGAAGATTTTCTCTTATGTTCTCTTTAGGAAGTTTTATTTTTAGCTGCTATGTTTAGGTCTGTGGTCGTTTTAGAATTAATTTTTTTATATAGTGCAAGGTAAGGATTGAGATTCTTTTTTTTTTTGCATCTGTATTTCCAGTTATTCAACAAATATTAATTGATTTGGCCATAGTGCTAATACGGAAATAAATATAAACAGTTTCTGCCTGTTAAAAATATCCTGGGATGCTGTGAAAGAAAGACACGTAAAAACGTAAATTGTAGCGTGATATGATGGTTGGAACTATAAGCATATATCTTTTAACATTCAAATCCTGGCTCTACCACCATCCTGGCACAAGAGTTCAATTAATGGTGGCTATTATTCTGTACTGAGTATAGACCTTGGATAAAGTAAGTAGCTTCAGAGGGATGATCGAGTATCAAAGGAGGAGCTTTGTCTTATCCCATTTTAAAGATGAAGAAACTGTGGTCAAGAGAGGCTGAATAACTTGCCCAAGGTCACACAGCTGAAAGGATTTTTAGTGTGTATTTAAAATTGGTTATCCATCTTGAAGCATTTGTTTTAGGTTGAGTCTAGTCTATATAGCAGTATGCTAAACATTGAGTGTTCTTCCAGAGTAAAGACTATCTTGTTTACTATTCTGTCCCTATTGCCTGGCACTTAAGAACTCAGCAAACATTTATTGGATGAATGAAGAAGGCTACTGTTAAAATTGTAGTGCAGAGTATGTGAATTAGATTTTATGACACATGAGAAAATTGAAAGCTGTGTTTTCCAAAAATTTTTCATGTTATTTTCTTTAGACTTTTGAATCTAGAAAGCATTAATGAGTAGTAAGTCAGCAAGATTTGTGTTTCCAGTGTGTTCTGTTAATTTTATAAGATTGAACATAAGAAATGGCAATTTTTTTTTTCCTGAGGAAGATTCACCCTGAGCTAACATCTGCTGCCACTCCTCCTCTTTCTTTTATGTGAGCCGCCACCACAGCATGGCCACTGACAGATGAGTGGTGTAGGTCCACACGCAGGAACTGAACCCAGGCTGCTGAAGTGGAGTGCACCAAACTTAACCACTAGACCACTGGGGCTGGCCCAGAAATTGCAATTTTTTTCATCAAAAGTTGTCGAATATTGTGGATTTCTATCACTCAACCTATTTAATCCCTTGATCGTGTTGCCTCCCTCTTTGCTAAACTGCTGTTTCCTGTTTCTCATCTAGGTGAAAATAAATATAAACAAGATAAAGTAAACTAAGAAAACATTCATTTATTGAATAGACTAAATATTTATTACATGCTTGGCACTATGCTTAATTTAGGAAATGGTGTCTAATCTTTAAGGAGCTCACAGACAAGTAGGGGTCACTGTAAACCAATGATTCCAATTTTGTGTAATAGTTATAATAGAAGAATATAGTAGGGAGCGTGGTGAGAGAATTTCTTTTATGGCTCGTGCTTATCATTCCAGGAGTAGAAAGGGAGCTCTTTGAGCAGAAAATGTAAGTAGTCATTTCACGTTGTTTAATGGGTGTGGATTTCACTATTTAAAATTTTGATGCTAGCCATGAGTTACTGCCACAAGGTGAAACATTTAAAAGAATACTATATGGTAAGCATACTACTAAGCTGTGAGCTTCTAATTGTCTGGGACAGCATCTTGTTCATTCTTATTTCACAGCAGTGTGATTTGTGGGTAGATTAGCATGCTTTAGAAATGATTGTTGAGGGGCCGGCTCCATGGCTTAGCGGTTAAGTGCGTGCGCTCCGCTGCTGGCGGCCCGGGTTCGGATCCCGGGCGCGTACCGACGCACCGCTTCTCTGGCCGTGCTGAGGCCGCGTCCCACATACAGCAGCTAGAAGGATGTGCAACAATGACATACAACTACCTACTGGGGCTTTGGGGGAAAAAAACAAATAAATAAAGTTAAAAAAATAAAAAAAGAAATTGTTGAAATTTACTGAACAGCATTTTTAGAAATTCAGACAGGTCTATTTTTGATACCTTTATTTAAAATGTTATGTCACTATTTTTTTTAATCTTGGCCATAGTAGTATCCTTTATCTTTTCTCAAAGTTCAAGGGTATGGGCATGGGCTTCATAGAAGATTGTTATAAAAACTGACAGAGGGATCACGGCTATTTGGGGTATTCTTTTGCCAACTGTTTTTCAAAACAGTTCTTAAACCCCATTTTTGAGCATCAGGTTCTTTTGAGAATCTGAGAACTTATGAACCTAGGGAAAGTATATATGCCCTCTGATTTTTGCATACAGTTTGACCCAGGAGAACTCTTTTTCTCTAATAACAACTGTGCAAGAAAGAGATTTTAAAATATGAGACCTCAAATACCCCTTACTGATTTAGGAATCAAGTGACATATTCTTGGTCCAATTCTGCCATTTACCATTTGGGATTATCTTAGGCACATACCTTAAACATTCCTTGTTAGCTCATAGGGTTGCTTTGAGGAAACATGAGGTAATGAAATACGAGTGTTTGACTACAAAGCATATGTAAACTGTAACTAGTATTATTTTAGATGAAATCACTGTCATTATTATTGTGTTAAACTAACACTAGTTATTTTTCCTAGCTTTTAAAAAAGGATTTTATTTAATAGATTTTTTATTCTTAAAAATATCGTAGGGGCCGGCCTGGTGGTATAGTGGTTAAGTTCTCACACTCTGCTTCTGCGGCCCAGGGTTCTCAGGTTTGGATTCCAGGCATGGACCTACACTCCACTTATCAAGCCATGTTGTGGCAGGCGTCCCACACATAAAGTAGAGGAAGATGGGCACGGATGTTAGCCCAGGGCCGATCTTCCTCAGCGAAAAAAACGAGGATTGGCAACGGATGTTAGCTCAGGGCTAATCTTCCTCACCAAAAAAAAAAAGGGGGGGGGAGAAAAACAAATCTTATTCAACAATTCTTTAATTAGAGTAAGTCAAAGTAAAGTTTACTAGTGCTTTTGATTACACACATCAAATTCTGATACTTAGAGCTAATGATATACAAAATTCTTTTCTAAGAGTGTTAGGCCAGCTTTGTCGTATGCCTTTTAAGATGGATTTTGTGTGTGTGTTTGCGTATACACACTTGTCTGCTTGTGCTTGCTTCCTCCTTGTGCTTATGAGGTTTAAGTGAATATGTACTTGAAATTATCTTTTCTTAGATGGAGATGGTGATGGAGATGGAGCAACTGGAAAGAAGAAGAAAAAGAAGAAGAAGAAGAGAGGACGTTAGTGTCTTAAGTTGATCTTACTTGACAAATTAGAAATCGTTGTTAACCAGCAGGTTTGAAGAATAGGTTTGAAGTTGCTTAAGATCCTGTTATATGTCAGGAAAATAAATTTAGGCTTAATAGAGGTAGAATTTAGTGAAACTCTCAACTATTTTGCAAGTACTTGGGTTTAGCTATCTTGTTGATATTTTCTTTAGCTGTTATTCAGCCAAGGGATATTAATAAGTTGGTTGCATTTACTGCAAGTTAGGGATAAGTTCCTAAAAAATTTATGATTTAAAACTTGAATAAGTGAAATAATAATTCTGTCAGGGATGACTAAAAGTGGTGCCCCACCTTGTGCTAATAGGATAAACAATTTGCGGTTCACCTGCCATCTTTGAAATTATGAGATTCTTGATCTGTATTTGATGAGGAGTCCCATTATTTAAAATTTCTGCGTATGGTGAAATTTTAGTAACGTTTATGTTGCACTATTTCAGATTCACTTAAAATATGATCCTACTTGTGTTTGTTTCTATAAATGACATAACCAAACATCTTCAAGGACCTGGTACTCTTAGAAAAACTAAGGGGAGGCTGTATAGTATTGCAGAATAAAGGTTGGTTTGAGAATCAGAACACTTAAGTTCTAATCTTGGATGCCCTTTGGGCTATTGAGAACCGTTGAGTGTCTGATTATACCTTCCTTTAAAATCTTTCAGGCTAAAATTTTATGAAGCAGAATATTGAGGGTTTGACTTCCATTTTTATCTCTCTGTTGAGAGACATACTTAAATTATTTTTTAAGAAAACTTTTGACTCTGCCAGCCATTCCCCTGATGTGTCTCCAGGTGGAAATGGGATAGCCTTCTTTCTCTTTAGGCATCTATCCTTGTTAGAGCCTTCTACTCGTAGGATGTCAGTTCTTCCCCCAGCATAAGTCTATATTTAATGAGCACAAGTTACTTGCATTCCCAGAATCTTCGAGGGATTATGATGTCATATTATTTCCATTCAAAAATTGTTAGAAGGTGCCTATGAGACATGGTATTACCTGGGAATGGCTTGAGAAATGTCTGTTTCTCCAAATACTCTAAAATTGCTCCCTAACGAGGCTGGATAAGCAGGAGAGAGTGTTAGGGACTGCTTTGTATTTGCCCTTTATAGAATTCTTCCACTGACAGATGTTTTAATATGATGCCATCAGCCTTTATTGTGCTTCCTCTGAGGATATTATTGAACTTAGTGTTCATTATGTTGCTTTATGAGCACTCTGAAGAGACACTCTTTTGTGTGGTCTCAGTATCAAGAATAATTGTGCTTTTCCTGAGTAGTTAATGTGTTTTATTTCGGAAACATTACGCGCTATGCAAATAACCTAGCTTTTTCTTTATATTGGCTACTAGAGGGCTTAAAATCAAATCTGTGGTTTTGTATTCGCCTATTTCAGGTTCTATTTTATGTTCTTTCCATGTTTTAATTTTTGCTAATTTACTTTGAATGTCTCTTATTTGTGTATTTTAGATATACTTGTAGGCTATATCATAAATCACTTCTGAAATAAGTCAAATAATATAGTCATGAGCAATTCACTGCCCTCATTTTCCTCTTCTATAAAGTGAGAGAATTCTAAATGATAGTTAATGATAACTGCAGTAAAGATTGTTATGATTATTCATAGTTTTAGATAATAACTTGGACATAGTACATTATAATTTTCAAAGGTTATCCAAGATTTCATCTGGTTCTTCATTTTGTATATGAGGAAACTGAGGCTTGGTGCATTTAGCCATTTGTCCAAGTCACAGCTAATAAGTGGTAAAGGGTAGACTTCAGCTCTGATATTTTGATTTTTTTATCTAATGATCTTGTTGAATCCTTTAACTATCTTGTCTTAATATTTTGTGGACAATATAAAAGCCATCTTTATCATGTTTGTAGATGAGATAGAGCTGAGGGTGATGAGATAATACTTTGGTTGAAAAAAAATCAAGATTTCCAAAGATCAAGAAAACTGAGACAATAGGCTAATGTTAATAAGCCAAAATGTAATAAACATATATAAAGTTAATACAGGTGATGGGATCCTAAGGATATTGACTGCTAGTACAATGTGAACTAAAAAGCAAGAAGTCTTAACTTTTCAATAGCAGTAGGATTTTTAGAATCAGCAGTACTGGCTTATACTAATTATACCTTATTTGGACTATTAATATATAAGTCAGTTCTACTCCTAACTTAACAGGAACATTGACAAATTTAAGGTTGGTGAATATGGGTGAAAGTGTTAAGAACCACATCATTTAAAGTGGTTTCTCATCCTAGAGAGGGAGGAATCAGTAGAAATGAAAAGTAAATTTTTTTGACTGCAAAGAATAAAGCCAAAACTAATGTAGAGAGAGAGAGATTAGTGTAGGAAGAGCTTTCTAACAGTTAACAGCTCTCCCCAGATGGATAGATGTCAGCTTGGGAGATAGTGACTACCTCCATTGTCAGGAGCTCAGTGCCATCTGTCACGGGTATTAGGGGGGTTCCTAGATTGATTGTGAAGCTAAGTTAGATGACTTCTAGGATCTTTTTTGATTTTAAATTCTAATATTCCCTCTTAGGAGGAACCTAAAACAGTGTTTCCCAAGTTACACTTTTTAACATTAGGTAAAGAGAGAAAACCAGTTGGTGCACATGAGATATTAAGTGTTTGGATTAGAGGAGGGAACCAAAAAATGGTTCCATAGATAAATAATTTGATTCAATAAATGGTCATGTTTTTATTTATGTGTGTCCTTTTTTCCCCCTCTGCAAAACAAAAAAATCAAAATGTGTGTTAAAATTTAAGACAAAAATCCGTAACATCAGAGCAGTTATAATCAAAAGGAAACCACATACTTCAATTCAATAGTTGATAAATGCTACAGGTATACGTTGAAAGTCGTTATTGCATAAATTAACTCTCATGCAACTTCCTAGCATTCCTTGGAACAGTGTTCATTGCTGCAGTTCTTCATGTGATAAGAATGTATAACTAGTTCTTGTGTATTTAAAACAAATTTTAGAAGACAAATCTCTAGATATTTTTTAAAAGCATCTTGGAACACTGGTGTCTTTTAGAATATAGTTTGGGAAACAATGTCCTTAAAATGTGTGCTAGGTACTGTAACTTTTTTCAACTATCTGGAAATTTATATATGGCTAACTAAAGTCTTTTAGCGGTGGGTGTGTAGACTCTTTAACTTTTATACTTAATATACCCTTGAAATAAGTTTTTTACTTATTTAATCAATACATAATAGCTTTATATTTTTACTTTATTGCTATAGGATTTCTTTCTTATTTTCTTGTTGCTTATTTGATTTTTATTTGTGAAAGCCAGCAGCTATATGCTATTCCATTTCCGGTATACTAAGTGAAGACAAAAATATTAGAAGCGTGCTTTCTGCCAGGGCATAGACTGTCTAAATAGATAATGGAGTTCTGAGGAGTTGAATATTTCTATTCCCTGTGTGCGAGAGAGGAGGTGGCCAGCATGGCGAAATATCTTCTGTTTTTAACTGTAAGGCGACAGCAAGGAGGTTCCTTAAAATCAGGACATATAACAACCATTAGAAACTGAGAGGGGCTGGCTCTGTGGCTTAGCTGTTAAGTGCGCGCGCTCTGATGCTGGCGGCCCGGGTTCGGATCCCGGGCGCACCCCAAGGCACCACTTCTCCGTCCAGCGCGAGGCTGAGTCCCACGTACAGCAACTAGAAGGATGTGAACCTATGACATACAACTATCTGCTGGGGCTTTGGGGGGAAAAAAATGAATAAATAAAATCTTTAAAAAAAAAAAAAAGAAACTGAGAAAACTGTAATGATAACTGCTTAATTTTATTGTTAACTACAGAAGTTAATGCTTTATTTGTATCTCGCAGCAAAAGTTCAAACAGACCCTCCCTCAGTTCCAATATGTGACCTGTATCCTAACGGTGTATTCCCCAAAGGACAAGAATGCGAGTACCCACCCACACAAGATGGGTAAGGATCATAAAATAACTTCCAATTTAACTTTTGAAAGTTGTAGCTTAGCAATAAAGCAGATTTTATTTTTCTTGGAACTTTGCTCCACTACCTTAATAAAAACTTGTGAATTTGTTACCTTAATAAAAACTTGTGAATTTGTTGCAGAGAAAATACAGTAGAAGCCCTCTTATCCAAAATGATTGGGACCAGTATTAGTTTGCTTAATCAAAAAATTATGTTGAAGTAGGGATCACAAAAAAAAAATAAAAATCTTTATTGATAAAAGTTGACTTAAACATATGTTTTTCATCATTCTTGGTATTTGAGCATGGATTTGCTTTGGACTCTACTTTTTTACCCATAAGCTATATCCATAATGCATTGTCTATGAGTCTGTTCCATTTTGAGTTTCTGTGAAGAGCAAGAACTAAGTAATTTGAGGGCTGTTGCCTATATCTTGACATTTTTTTCCTGAAACCATTTACAGTTCTTATCTGTACTTAATTTGACAGAAGTATTTTTGATGACTTGCCTTTATTGAGATTTTTGTGAGTAGTCAGTTTAGTTTTCATAGAAATAATTCTTTTTATATAATATTTAATTAAATTAATTACAGTAACAAGTACAGATGACCTAACACAAGTTTGGGAACAAATCACCTGACTCTTGGAAGTATTCTGGAAAGATACATTTCAGCTGGTCAGCATACACTCCTAGTGGCATTATGCACACTGGTTAAGAGCTTGGCAGCTGGCACCAAACTGTCCGCATTTGAATCCCAGCTCTAACACTTATTAGCTTTGTGACGTGGGCAAGTAATTTATCATGTCTGTGCTTTCATTTCATCATCCATAAAATGGGCACTTCATAGGGTTTTTGTGAGGAATAACAACGTATATAAAGCACTTAGAAGCGTACCAGACACACGGTAAGCATTTAGTGTTAGCTGCTGTTATTATTATTCAGAATTGGAACCTGTCAGCCGCTCTTATTCAGGATACAGTGGGTATTGGTTAGTATATTTTACCGAGGGACTCAAGAGCATTGGTTAATCCAGTGGTTGCAATAGTTGGTTAAGACAGCTTCTACTGTAGCATTGTTTCATTGACCTGTAAAGACACCATTGTTTTTCTTTAAACTTAGAAAAGAACATGATGTTGTTATATTTTCACTCCTTCCCTCATTCCCAGTACTGTTAGGGAATAAGGCTGTAAAGTTCTGAAATTTTATGGCATGGGCACCTTCTCTTTGAATTTGAATTCATCAGTCACTATCCTTAAAGTATCTATTTTTAAAATGTCACAGACACGTAATTTTACATTAATTTCATAAATTCTCATAGTACATATGATGTGATCACATTTATTTTTAAATATAATCTTTTTAATTTTTTTTTCTGTTTGTTCCCTCTTCCTTCCCTTCCTTCCAGACCCATGTAACCACCTAGCAGGTAGCCTTCCATATTTTTCTATGCTCATATATGTGTACATCTATGTCTGTTTATGTAAGGGGAGTGTTTTGGTCATTGTTTGTTTTACAAAAATGGAATCATAGGCACACTTTCCTCCACCTTGCTTTTCGCATTCAGGACTACCTCTTGGAAGTCCCTCCACGTCAATCAGAATAGCTATGTTATTCTTTTGAATGGCTTCATAATGTTCCTTGGTGTGAATATACCACAATTTATTCCACCATTTTTTAATTGATGAGCGTTGACTTTGTCTCCAATAATTTTTGCCATTATAAACCATTTTGCAATAAACATCTCTCTTTCTAAGTATATACATATATATGTATTTATGTATACATATATGTGTGTGTGTATATATATAGGCATATATATATCTCTCTCTCCTTATGTGCTTGCGGTTTTATTATGTAATAATTTTCTAGGAGTGAGATTGCTGAATCAAAGAATATGTTAATACTTTAGTTTATGATTCCCAGACTGCTAGTGATTTTGAGCATCTTTTTATTGGTTTTGTTCTTTTGCTCTTCCAGAAGTTTTAAAATTTGAAATACAGTACACGTTCATATTTTATGCTTAGGGTTGTTAGTAGTCTCTTAGATTTTCTCAAACTCTTATTTTGTGTATTATTGCATCTTTAATTGGCCTGGAAGTTTTTGTGTAGGGTTGGGAGCGTTAATTTTATTTTCTTTCAAATGGTTAACCAGTTCTGCTAGAAGTGTTTATTAAGTAATTCATCCTACTGAATTGAATGACCACCTTTGCCGTATACTATATTCTCATATATAATGCAACCAATTTCTGTATTATTTATTCCACTGATCGAATTGTGTTTTCCTATGCTAATACTGTTTCGATTTGATATCAGCAACTTTATAATATATTTTGATAATTTGATAAGGCAAGTCTGTCTTCTCTCCCACACGCACCCCAAACATGGTTCTTTTTTATACTTTTCTTAGCTATTTTCAGTCATATATGCACATAGCCACAGAGAAATGCCCTTGTTAGAATTCTCATCTGAATTGCAGTATATTTATGTATTTGTTTCAGAACATTGACAGTTGTGTCACATTGTCTTATTCATTGTCATGGTATATTTTCCCACTTCTTCTGATTTTTTTTTCAGGTAGGTCCTGTCCCTTTCCTGTTAAATTTATTCTTAAGTGTTTTATGGTTTTGTTACTGATGTGAACAAGATATTTTTATTCCTATTTCCATTTCTATATGCTTATTGTTAAAGTGCAGGAAAGCCATTGATTGTTAATATTTTTAACACTGTGAAAATGGTGGAATACTTGAAGTAATGTTTAATATAAGAAAAATACTGAAATTTTGTAAATCTTAACAACTACCTTTCCCTTCTTACTATCATTTTCTGTTGCAAATTAAACATATAGGTAGAATAACTTCTGTTTTTGAAACAATGGATGAAGATATAATTATAGAATATTTTTCTTAAATACTGAAAGCAATGTTGTATTCCATCCTGGAGAAATATAAAAGAAATTAGGATATTCTGGTTATGATTGCTTTTTAATAAATCTCAATATTTTTTGACATTCATATAACCAGTTTTGACTGCAAATAGATCAGAATCAATATTCTTATAGATTTGGTAAAGTATTAAATATAGTTTTGTATCTTGCCTTCATTGTTATTTTAATAAACTTATTGAAAATTGCATGATTTATCACAAAGAACTTGCCTAACTACCACCCAGGTTGAGTGCATTATTTTATTTTAACTTTTTATTTTGGAATAATACTATACTTAACAGAAATCATTCCATACTGTGAGACTAGTACAGAGAATTCCCGCATACCTTTCACTCAGATTCTCTTGTAACATTTGGCTACATTTGTTTTATCATTCTCTCTCTCAATGGAATATGATGATTTATACATATTATGTATAATATTCACGTAACATTCCATTTTCTCCTTGGAAGATAGGTAGAAAGCAAATGTGGAAAATGTTATATTGGTGAATATGTATATATATTTTTTCTGAACTACTTGAGAATAGGTTGTGCATTTTTGGATGGAATACTACTAGATAAGTAGATACTCTGTCCTTTTCAGGGTTGTCACATCTGGTGGCACATGAAGTTAATTTTTATCACTTAGATAAGGTATTACCCAGTTTTCTCTAGTGTATCATTACTATATTTTCCTTTTATAATTAGGAATTTGTGGGAAATTACTTTGAAAATATGTAAATGTCTCATTGCTTATGAACATCCTCCTCACGTGTAGCATCCATTGGTGATCTTTGTCTGAATCAGTTTTTACTATGATGGTTATTGCCATTTTAAAAAAATTAACATTCTATGTGCATTTCCTGTGTCATTAAAAATTTTCGAAACCAAATTTTTAATGGTTATAATGCTATTCTATTTTGTGTCTAGCATAATTTTATTAGCTATTTCCCTGATTTATTGAATATACTGTTTTCAATTTTTTACCATTAGAAAAAATTCTATGATTAACATCTTAGTATGTCGATTGGATCTGATTTTTCTCTTATTCTGGATCTCTAGAAGAATGAAGAATTATTTTGCAATTCTTGATACCTGTTTCTACATTTAGTAGGCAGTTTCTTGGGACAGTTGTCAATTTTACAAGCAATACATATTCATTATAAAACAGGAAATACAGATAGACAAAAATAAGAAAATAAAAATCTCCTTAATTCTGCCAGTGAATTAAAACCACTGTTAACATGTTGGTATTTCTTCCTCTAAAGCCTCTGTATAAGTGTGTTATAAATACCTGGGAATGTTTTTCAAGTTGGAACTATACTGCAAACAGCTTTCTGACACCTTTTTAAATTCGTTTTCACGTTAGTAAAGAAACCAGCAATATTTCTAATGACTGAATAATTGTGCGCATCTGTGTGCATACCATAATTTATTTGTCCATTCCTCTCTCATTGGACATACAGTTTATTTCTGGTTGTTTACTATTAGAAACAATGCTGGGGTAAATATATTTATGTTATTTTCAACTTTCATAATGAAAAATTCCAAACAGGAAAGGTTGAAAAATAGCTTAATGAACTTAGTACCTAGATTGAACAGTTCTTAACATTTTGCCATATAGGCTTTGTCTCTGTATATGTATGTGTTTTTCTTCTATTGTTGATTTCTTTTTTTTCTACTGGGCCATTTAAAAATGTCTCATTTATTTTGAGTTATCACTTCTAAAAACTTCAGTCATCTCCCAAGAATTAGATATTCTCCAAATTATCACATCTAAGTAAATTAACAGTAATTTCCCAATATCATGTAAATACTTAGTTCTTGTTTTTTGTTTGTTTTGTGAGGAAGATCAGCCCTGAGCTAACATCCGTGCAAACCCTCCTCATTTTGCTGAGGAAGACTGGCTCTGAGCTAACATCTGTTGCCAATCCTCCTCCTTCCCCTTCCCCCCCCCCAAAGCCCCGGTAGATAGTTGTATGTCATAGTTGCACATCCTTCTAGTTTGCTGTATGTGGGACGCGGCCTCAGCATGGCCAGAGAAGCGGTGCGTTGGTGTGCGCCCGGCATCCGAACCCGGGCTGCTGGTAGCAGAGCGCGCGCACTTAACCGCTAAGCCACGGGGCCGGCCCAGTACTTAGTTCGTATTTAGAATTTTTTTCTCCTTGTCCCTGGAACATCTTTTTAGCAACTTTTTTCCCTCCAAACCAGGATCCAGTCAAGATTCATACATTGCATATGGTTAGAATCCCCACCTTCTCGTCCATTACATTGACTTTTTGAAGAGACCGGTTTGGAAAGTTTCATATTCTGGGATTTTTCCAGTTGTTTCCTTGTGGTGTCATTAAACTTTTTTCTCTGTTCCTGTATTTTCTGTAAACTGGAGTTAGTTGTAAAGGCTTATATTAGATTTAGAGTAAACATTTTTGACAGATATATCATAAGGTGATACTGTGTACTTCATATTGTATCGTAATCTATTGCATCAGATGTAATGTCAGATTCTGTTAGTTTTATTCTATTTTATCACATGGTTAATGTGGTGGCAGCCAGCTGTTTCTGTTTTAAAGGTACTTTGTTCTTTTTATCAATTATTTCGTTGGGGACTGCAAAATGGTGAATTTCTGTCATTCTTTCTACATTTCTTAGCTGACATTATTCTGTAAGAAGAATTTTTCTTTTTATCAGCAGGGCATCAACTATAGTTTCTTATAGGCAGAGTTAAAACATGCTTTATTTTTCCCTTTAAGTCCCAGTTTTCAGAGGAAGGAATTGGTGTCATAACTGCATGCATTCTTAATTGTTTCTGGATTAAAGACATGCATTTTTAAATGGTGCTTGTAAATGTGTCATAGAATGCTTTAAAAATAGAAATATGGGGCCGGCCCCGTGGCTTAGCGGTTAAGTGTGCAAGCTTGGCTACTGGCTGCCCGGGTTCGGATCCCGGGCGCACACCGACGCACCGCTTCTCTGGCCATGCTGAGACGGCGTCCCACATACAGCAACTAGAAGGATGTGCACCTATGACATACAGCTATCTACTGGGGCCTTGGGGAGAAAAAGGGAAAAAGAGGAGGATTGGCAATAGATGTTAGCTCAGAGCCAGTCTTCCTCAGCGAAAAGAGGAGGATTGGCATGGATGTTAGCTCAGGGCTGATCTTCCTCACAAAAAAAAAAGAAGAAGTAAAAATAGAAATATAATTATCTTTTAAGTTATCCGTGCATGAGTTCAGACATGTTTATGACTTTGAAATTAATAATCAGATACCTTTGTATCTTTTGGTTTTACTTATATTTTTCTGCTCTTTAACACATTCACTGGTAAAAATGATGAAATATTGAAAAGACTCAGAAATATCAGAGAGGTGTGAAGAATTTACATACTTTGTAAACATTTCCTATAAAAATTCTCTTTCAAGCAGTTGTTTTGGTGGTTATGTTTTACAGACATGTTTTAAAAAGCATTTCTATTCTGCCTTTGTCAGTTGGATTTATTAATTGCCTTTTGGAATACTTCTTATGAGCTCAGAATTTTTTTTAATCTTATTTATATTTTTGTTAAATAGACTAAACATCAAAAGATAAAATTTAGGAAAAAGGAGAGTCTCTTTCATAATATTCTTTGTCTTTCATTTGGGCCTGGATTTATAATTATAGACCCTGGCAGTAGGTTTCTTGAATATTACTAATGACTTTCAATTTGAACTCAAGATGTAGCAAAAGAATTTCTTTAATCCAATTTCTGATTGATGGTGCTTTACCAGTGATGCAAAACATTCCATAATCTTTTGAAGAGTCCACTGCTTCTAATAGTCAGCCATGCAACCTTTGGAAGAGTAAGATATATTCATTTGAGATCTGCTGATTTCAGTATTTGGGATTTTTATTGTATCCTAATTCTAAAATGTAGTCAAATACTATTTGAAATTTAATTATACTTAAGTTTTAACTTATTAAGAAGTGGATTTGAAGAATCTGAGGGTTGGATTGTGGAGAAAAAATGGGAATTGATAATGACCGATTCCACTTTCATAGACCTCCACGCATGATATCCATCAGTTCCCCTGTGGACATAGTCTTTCATTTTATGACTCTAGAGTAAATGTTTGCTGATATTTTTACTTTCCACAAAATCTTTGGCTTTTGGGAGGGGGTGCTTTTAACCTTTACTGCCAGGTATGGCTGTATATGTGCCAGAATTATGGCCCATTTAAGAGATGAAGAATTGTGATGTATTTTATTTAAAAATTGATCTGAGAATATAGCCACTACTGTAACGCCTAAAAATGATTTATTCTTAGAACATTGGGGTTCTTGGTTCCCAGGAAAGATTTTTGGATTTGTGGGAGAGAAAGGGCTAGAGTTAAAACTAGAGGTCAGGAGATTGTAGCTTGTCTGTCCCAGCATGGAGTGAGCAGCTATAAGTGTATTGCAGCTTAAAAAAGGTTGAGCCACATCTTGAGAATATACTTTTTAAAGGATTTTATCCTCTTACCTTCTAGTCTGAGGGTGTTTGTTTGAATACTTTGATTAGAAGTTGCCTCTTGAGTTTTCACTGTTCCTATAAAAGTAATTCATATGCATTTAAGTACTTATGGAGTTTAAAACTGACCTTCAGCTGATGGTACTGTAGTATTTCAGTTATCTGATATCGGTAGATAGATCCAAAATATATTTCCAAACAGAAAATAAGACAGAGACGTCTCTGTGATGCTTAAGTACCCAAAAGGCCAGATAGTAAACATTTTAGGCCTTGAGTGTTGCTCAGTTCTGCAGTTGTAGCAGGAAAGTAGCTACAGACAGTATGTAAATGAATGGGCATAGCTATGTTGCAGTAAAATTTTATTTACAAAACAGGTGTCATGATGGATTTGCCTGCAAGCCATAGTTTGCCAGCCACTAGCTTTCAAGCAAACAGGAGTAACTCCTTGAATTTTTTTTTCTTTTTTTGGGGGGTGAGGAAGATTAGCCCTGGGCTAACATCTGTTGCCAGTCCTCCTCTTTTTGCTGAGGAAGATTGGCCCTGGGCTGACATTTGTGCCCATCTTCCTCTACTTTATATGTGGGACGCCTGCCACAGCGTGGCTTGATAAGCAGTATGTAGGTCCGTGCCTGGGATCCAAACCTGTGAACCCTGGGCTGCCAAAGTGGAGTGGACAAACTTAACCACTACACCACCGGACGGGCCCCGAAGGCATGACTTTTATACTAATTATAATTTATACCTCAGTGATCACTGAGTGGTGAACCGTGTATTCAGTATTGCTTAAGGATGTATGAAAGTTATAACAACTTTTAAAAAGGTTTTCATTTGAAACAGTTACTGGTTTTGAAATGTACTGCTTAAAGGGAGTCATTGGATCTCCTCGTTCCTAGATACTGAATATAAAAATCTGTTTATTACTCCTGGCCGTTTTAAAATGTGAGCCATATCCTTCAAGGAAGATTACCTTTAATATATAGACAATTAGAAACATCTTGTAAAAGCACATAATATTTTATGTTTTGAGGAAGGAAGATGCAGATTTCCAGGTCAAGTCTTTGGATTGGTACCTGCCCTATTTGTGAAGTTAAATGCTAATTTTGAGGTGCTCTTTTGAAGTCTCATAAAGTATATATTACCTCGAGTGGAAGGCTAATTTTTTTCTCCCACCTGCTTGGTTTCTGGGACTCTTTTCTAATTCTCTCCTTTCATGTTATTTTGTGGGTTCAGGGTATTAGTTCCTCTGACTGTGAATAAAATCTCACTTGAGGATTCTTTTTATGAGAGTCTTAAAAAAGGTTTAACTTGATTTGGCTTGATCGTAAGTGTGTAGCTACTTGTATTTCTGAAACTTTGCTGACATTTAATAAAAGAAACTGCATATGTAGTATTTTTGTCTAAAATGTCTTAAATTACTCAGTATATTTTTCTCTCTCTCAGCTTTTATGCTTATTCTGCTATAAATGACTAATACTATGCTATGCATACTATAAAGGCGAACAGCTGCTTGGAGAACTACAAGTGAAGAAAAGAAAGCATTAGATCAAGCTAGTGAAGAGATTTGGAATGATTTTCGAGAAGCTGCAGAAGCACATCGACAAGTTAGAAAATACGTTATGAGCTGGATCAAGCCTGGGATGACAATGATAGAAATCTGGTAAAAGGAATATGTTTTTGTAAGAACATGTTAAAAGAATTTTTTTTTAGAGCTAACTCTCCAGTTACAATGTTTGGCTTTCATTACTACTTTGCTAAAACTTTAAGTTTTCTAGAGATATCTTGTAAATCCTTCTAGTGTCTGTGTAATGAGGAAACCCATGAGAGGGCATTTGCACCTCAATCACTGTATTTTGCACTTATGTACACTCATGTGCAAATGCGCACGTTACTGATTCTTATTTTCTGTCTGGAAATCTATTATGTGGCTGTCTGACAATTCATATTAAATTAAAATTCTTGGATACAAAACATTTATAATGAAATTAAGAAACCAATAAAAGTAATTATTTCTCCAGTTTTCCCCTTGAGAAATAATTAGCTGTAAAAGACAACTTAATTCTATGATTCAGACAGTTTTCCAAATCTTCGACGTTGAGCCAATAAAATGTAATCAGCATTTAAATTAGTCAAAGTCAAGGATCTTAGTTCCTAGTAAACTAAGTTAAAAGTGGATCGTGTTGTTCTGTTTCTGCAGATTTCTAGTGGAATTAAATTCTTTATGTTTTTAGAGATGAGCTACTATTTTCATAGCATCAGAGAACTGTTATTTATTCACATCCAGAAAGTGCTCAGATCTTTCCCAGGAAGTAATTTAAGAGTTTTAGTAAACTTTCTGGACTTGATGAACTGTAAGGTTTATAAGGGTAAGAATGTAAAAGAAAACAAATCCCCCCCCCGCTTTTTTTTTTTCAGTGAAAAGTTGGAAGACTGTTCACGAAAGCTAATAAAAGAGAATGGATTAAATGCAGGCCTGGCATTTCCTACTGGGTGTTCTCTCAATAACTGTGCTGCCCATTATACTCCCAATGCTGGTGACACAACAGTATTACAGTATGATGACATCTGTAAGATAGACTTTGGAACACATATAAGTGGTGAGTTCTTAGAAATAATTCCCACCCCACCTTCCTCCTAAAAAAACTCTGATCTTGTTTCTGTTGGGTGGGGCTGCAGATCCTGAACTCCCACATTTTCTTCTTGATGCCTCACTTTTCTGAGGGCTGTGTTCAGGAAGGTTTTGAGATTTACTTTAAAGCATTCTACTAAATGGAGTATAATGAAAACATTGGGTAATTGAGGTTTATTACCCTCTGTATCAAAGCATAAAAAACATAATCTTAACATTTCCTCATTCAAGTCATTGTTTCGGACATCATTTATTTGTATAACAATAACAAACTTTTACTTAGAACCTTTAAGTTTACCAACCTTTATATACTTGTTAGCTTTTCTAAATTCTCCCATAAATCCTATTGGGTAAGTGCCTTTTTATCTCACTCAACAGGAGAGAAAGCAAAACTTAGATTAAGTACTTACTGAGGTTTTACTAAATTGAAGAAGCTGGACTGGTGGTTAGCATCCTGTGGGCCTATACATTTTCTCTGCCTGCATTGCTTTTCCTTGGTTCCCCAGGCTTTTCTGACTTTGATTTGTTTCTGTTTATATTTTTGCATAACTGCATGGGTGAGTTCTGAATTGGTGCTGTCTTGAAGTAATATGTGCTAACTCTGGAATTAATCTTTTCATTCTGAAACCTTTATGTAACTTATTTATACTTTTTTCCCCTTTGATTATGAATGCTGTCTGGGTACTCAGAGTGCCGCCTTCATTTTGGAGCCCATCATTTTATTTTCCTGTTAACTAGCAAGGTTAATAGAGTTGATACAATAAAGTAGATAAATTGACTAGCTGATAAGTAAAAGAAGAATTTTCTCTTTCAGGTAGGATTATTGACTGTGCTTTTACTGTCACTTTTAATCCCAAATATGATACATTGTTGAAAGCTGTAAAAGATGCCACTAACACTGGAATAAAGGTATGTGAACTGTAACCACCATTTCATTCAACATATTTTGAGCACTTTATAGCCTATTTAAGATCTTTGGGTTATATAAGACTAGTCCACTGCCCTTGGTTTTAAGTGGGTAATTGCAATATAATGTACCAAAGGCTTTTACAGAGGAAGTTACAGCGTGCAAAGCAGTTTTTCTGATTGTCCCTTATTTTAAAATATTAAGTTAGGTTACTGTAAAATTCTGCACTTTGAATAACAAGGTGTACATTATTCTGTTTTTAGTGTGCTGGAATTGATGTCCGTCTATGTGATGTTGGTGAGGCCATCCAAGAAGTTATGGAATCCTATGAGGTTGAAATAGATGGGAAGACATATCAAGGTGTGTTCTTTAAAAATGTGTCTTATTTTGAAATGCATATGACCTCTGCAGAATTAATTTTGCAAAATAGTGTTGAGTGCTTTCTTTGGGTCAGCTGCTTCATCTTTCTCTCTTGGGAATACAGAGGGAAAATGAGGGAAATGACTTTCTCATGGTAGGAGTACTGTGGTCACTAGCTGGGAACTGTTGCCAAGCTACTCTGGTAACTGATAAGACACCTGGGGATTTATCCAGGGTGGCCAAAGTGCAGACTAGGTTTTCTGTGACTAGTCAAATCAGAGCTGAGAGAGAAGCCAGAGGCCCTTTCCATTGATGACTCTCTATTTTTTTTTTTTTTTAGTTGAATTCAAAATTTAGAGGCCAGTTAATTCCTTGTGTGTCCTTCTTTTAGTCTTTATTCCCTTCCCTCCTAGTCTTCCCAGACACTGCATTAGGTACACAGCCCTAGAGTCACCTGTGCTTCCTGGTCCTCTCTATTAGTCCAGCCTTCCTCTTAATTCCCAGGGTCTATCCGACCACTCTCCAGCCACCATCCTCCTTAATCTGCTCATTGCTCTCTGTAACACCTATTCTAATAACTTTGTAACAGAATATTTCCTATGTTTTCTTTAACCAAATCCTGTCTTGCCTTTATAGTCCTTTTGAGTGGAGACTCTCATGCTTCCTTGCCCCTTAGTAAATTCACATCATTCAACATTCTTTGCATTCCCCTGTTGATACTTATAGACTGTTGTGTTTCTTCCAAGTGCAGTGCCTGTCCTTGTTGCTTTCTTGCAGGTTCCTAATTCTGTGAACATCCATACAAATCAAAAACTCTTAAGGCTGCTCATACTTGAATGGGCGGTGTGTTATGGGATAATGAAGAAAACATACTTTGGGGTCAGGCAGGTCTGTCTTTGAGCTTAGACAAATCGTATAGCCTCTAAGAACCCAAGTTTCTTTGACTGTAATAGGATTAATGATACCGTGGTGTTTTTTTTTTTTTTTTTTTTGAGAAATGTAAATTTTATGACAGTGCCTGAAATTTATTAGTATTCAACAAATATTTGACATTTTCCACCCCCAGTTTTGGGTTTGGTGCCACGATAAATAATGCTTATTCAAGTCCCTCTCAAATCATCTTTTCCTTCTATTTTCTTTTATGTCTACAACTTTGGTTGGCATGTGGTCTGCCTTTCAAGGTATATTAGGTGACAATTTGACTTAATGTTTGGTTACCACATAACAATTCCAGTCTGCAGTATTGGAATCCTTAATATCTACCTTCTTACCTCTTCCACTGAGCTAGTGCAACATTTTAGGTTCTGTTATTTCAGCACTCTTTTTGATACCGGTTATTGTATTGAGCAGAGTTCCTAGTTGAAGGTGACAGAATTCATTTTTACTAGTTCAAGCAGAAAGAATATAGACATATCATGACATTGAGAAGATGAAGAAATGGACTGACCATAGGCTGAACTTTTAGAAGCAGTTCCCAAAAACCACGTAACAACTGGGCCATCAAGGGAGTGATTTTATTTACCTTGATCAGGAAGCTATAGAATTGGAAAGTTACCTTTACAGCTGTTGGTCCCATAATTAGCCTGCCACTGTCACAATCTTTATAATATAAAAATGGATACCCTTTGCCCTGGTTTTTCCGTGTAACTTGATTATATGTTAGGTTGGTATGGCTGAGAAATCTTTTTATTTAAATATATTTTTGATCGCCCTGTGGGGTCAGTTTGCCCAATCTTGGAGAAATAGTAATGCTTGCTGAATTTTAAAATAAATTTAGGGCCGGTCCCATGGCTCAGCGGTTAAGTGTGTGCGCTCCACTGCTGGCGGTCCGGGTTCAGATCCCGGGTTCGAACCGACGCACCGCTTCTCCGGCCATGCTGAGACCGCGTCCCACATATAGCGACTAGAAGAATGTGCAACTATGACATACAACTGTCTACTGGGGCTTTGGGGGGAAAAAATAAATAAATAAAAAATTATAAAAAAAAAAATAAAATAAATTTAGCTTATTTATATAAGGAGGAGGATTTTTTTGAAGAGCTTATTGAGAATTTTATTTTTCTGTACTACCCCTTAAATTTGTAGTATGCTGGTCATTATTTCATTGTTAAAGATTTGAAAAAACCTTGGTACCTAATCCTGCCCTAGAAGCAAGGTAGCTTGTACTGAGGATTCTAGTACTAGAGAGCTAGATTTTTTTAAACCTTTTTTTATTGTGGAATATAAATATACTAAAAATATACACAGCATAAAACTTCAACTAAATAATTGTAAAAGCTATATGACCTCACCCCTTGAGAGGTAGAATATTGCCAGCATTCCAGAAGCCCCCTAATTCTATATAACCCTTCCCAATTACAGCAGCCTTCTTCTAATAAACCACTATCTTGAGTATTAAAGTATTTGCATTTGCTTTTCTTTATGTCTTTATCATCTAATTATGCACCTCTAAACAGTAATATAATTATGCTTAATTTTGATATATATATATATGGAATTGCACAGTATGTATATAATTGTGACTTCTCTTGCTCACTTTTTCTTTAGGTTTTATTTCGGTTGTTCAATGTATCCCTAGCTTTTTGTTTTTATTGTTGAGTAGTATTCCATTGTGTGGATATACCATAATTTGTTTATTCTGTTGTTGATCTCAGGACGTTGGGGTTGTTTAGATTTTTCTTTCTTTCTTTCTTTCTTTCTTTTTTTTTTTTTGGTGAGGAAGATTAGCCCTGAGCTAACATCTGTTGCTAATCCTCTTCTTTTTGCTGAGGAAGATTGGCTCTGGGCTAACATCTGTGCCCATCTTCCTCTACTTTATATGGGACACTGCCACAGCCTGGCTTGATAAGCGGTGCGTTAGTCTGCCCCTGGGATCTGAACCTGCGAACCCCGGGCTGCCGAAGTGGAGCATGCAAACTTAACTGCTACGCCGCTGGGCCGGCCCCTAGATTTTCTTTTTTAATATTTGAAATGTTGATGTAATAATAAAATTTAAGGTTTCACAGTCCTATCATTTTGATATAGAATCCTCATTTTTACATTACTTTGTGGTCTATAACCATAAAAATATATTTTTCATATTTGTAATCATTATGTACATGGATGTTTTTATTGATTAACAATACCTCCTTGGATGACCCCCATTGTGTCCTCATCACATAGCTTATTCTTTTTCCACCATCTCCCCTTACTCCCTTCTCGTTTTTAATCAATAACATTGCAGTAAATAACTTTTCATATTCCACTAGGTTTCTGCTGTGTATTTAACTATCTTAATGTGAGGTTATTTAGTAGAGCCATATCTTGTTTTTAAATAAATGCTTAAACTTTGTGCCAAAAGGCCAGGAGATCTTTTTGTGCTTCTAGAGACCCTGAATAACTATTTTTTTCCTATTTGTTATGCCAGTGAAACCAATCCGTAATCTAAATGGACATTCAATTGGGCCATATAGAATACATGCTGGGAAAACAGTGCCCATTGTGAAAGGAGGAGAGGCAACAAGAATGGAGGTATGTATTCCATTAACACGGTTCTTTGTGAATTTTTTTTCCCAGACTAAAGCTAGTGACAGTTGAGTGTGTTCAGCAAAATTAACTTGGCATCCATACTCACCCCGACAGGAATTGGGTCACGTGAGTGTGCAAATTGTGTCTGGTTCAGACCAGGGCTCAATCAGCTGTGGAAGGTGGGTATGTCAAAGGATTGTTTATTCAACACTGAGTGAATATTTATTGAGCATCTCTTAGGTGCCATCTCTTTAGTAGGCATTGAGGATGTAGTAGTGAACAAGACAAAATTCCCTGCCCATGTAAAGCCTACGTTCTAATAGGAGGACACAGAAAGACCAAAAAGCGCTAAGGAGATAAAGCTGGGAAAGGTGGATAAAGACTGCCAGAAGATATTTCATGTTGTTTCTTACATGAAGTAGAGAATACCTCAGCCTGAAGTTGAGAGATGGTAATTTTGACTAGTTCTGAATTTTTCTTCTCTCCTTGACCCTTACATATTTTTTAGGAAGGAGAAGTGTATGCCATTGAAACCTTTGGTAGCACAGGAAAAGGTGTTGTTCATGATGATATGGAATGTTCACATTACATGAAAAATTTTGATGTTGGACATGTGCCAATAAGGTGAGAGTCTATTGTTTTTATATGACTATATAAAAACTATTATGAGTTTTTTCTTTCCAGTTAACAGCATTTTCAAAAAATGTGGCCAACATCTACAGTGGTACATTCATAGATGTACCGTTCTATAGCCTAACAGTAAGTTCCGTGGATTTCTATAATACAGCAAAGAAATTGGCCTGTTAAAAATTTTAATTGAGATGAAAATTATATAGGCAAGTATTCTCTTCAGATCCAGTTTCCAATAATTGTAATAATTTCAGAGATTATTATTTTGCTGGCATTTCCAGGCTTTTGTTCTTATTTTCCTATTGGTAAATTTTATTTATTTATTTACTTACTTCCTTTGGAGAAGATGGTTGAAGGATGGATTTACACCTACTTTATGTGCAGGTCTTTCAGCTTGATGCACAAGAAAGGAAATTCCCACAATAATACTGTTGATGAGTCTGTACTGGGAATTTAACACACACATGCACAGACACACAAACATCGTAAGGTAGCCTTCAGCTGGTCTCCTCTTCAGCTGCCATCTATAATTAGGTATCGGCTCTTGTACGTTCTGGCTTTTGAAGGTGTTGAAAGAGGCAACAAAAAATGTCTTTTGAACTTTAATTACTAAGTCAAGCCACAGCTATGGTTTGAGTTTTCCTTAATGGGGGAAATGAGCTGGTAACTTTTTAGTCAACTATTAATCTTGGATTTTCTCCTCTTAGGCTTCCAAGAACAAAACACTTGTTAAATGTCATCAATGAAAACTTTGGCACCCTTGCCTTCTGCCGCAGATGGCTGGATCGCTTGGGAGAAAGTAAATACTTGATGGCTTTGAAGAATCTGTGTGACTTGGGCATTGTAGATCCATATCCACCATTATGTGACATTAAAGGATCATATACAGCACAGTTTGAACATACCATACTGTTGCGTCCAACGTGTAAAGAAGTTGTCAGCAGAGGAGATGACTATTAAACTTAGTCCAAAGCCACCACAACATCTTTTATTTTCTAAGCTTTGTTGAAATACATTATACCAGAATTAATTTGCAACATGTTGTCTGTTTAACAGTGGACCTATGTAATACTTAAGTTTAAAAAGGAAGGAATTTGATCAAAGGCATACCATCTAATGTAATTAACCAAGGAAAAAGCTTTCAGGACTTTGAAATGTTAACTGTTTTCCCCTGTCTAGGAAATGCTTTAGAGCTCAATTTAGTTAGAAGTGACTTATACATTTTGTTTTGAACACCCACAAGATGCTTTTCATATATTTATATTGCCATATTCTTAATTGAATGCTTTGAATGACTACATCCAGTTCTGCACCTATACCCTCTGGTATTGCTTTTTAACCTTCCTGGAATACATTTTCTAAAAAATAAAGACATTTTCAGATCTGAGAGCTACATTTCAATGTCTGTGGTTATAATTCTACACAGGAAATAGCCAAACTTAACGTAGGGAAATGTAAAGCCTTTTATCTGGATTATAGACTTCTACATTGAAACTTTTCTTCGACATAGTGGCTAAAACAAGATCTGTATGTGCATAAAGTGGGAGGAGAATTTTCATAAATTAATACACAGCTTTAGGAATATTTTGCCTTTATTTTCTTTTTAGGACCATAGGTAGTCCTTGTCTTTCATTTTTTCCCTGACATTGGAAAGATCTACTAATTGAAACATGACTTATAGGAACATTGAAACCTTGATTTAGTAAAATCTTAACGTGTAATATCTTTGTCCAGTGGTAGTTTTTATCGAGAAATGTATTCAGCTTACTCAGTAAACCAAAAGGGCATTTAAAACCACAAAAACAGGAAAACTTCTCATATTTGGATCTTGTTTTAGTTAGAAAAGTTAAATTGAATTATTAGGCTTTTTCATTAGTGAACCAATATTCTTTAACACCCTACCCCTCGATTGGCTTGGATTCATAACATTATGGGTGTTATTTCAGGAAGTGAGGTTACAGTGACGCTCATTATAGCAGCTAAGTGCATAAGTTGAATGTAAGATGCATATTTTGAACTGAGCCCCACTACCAGAACAAATTACTCGAATTCTGTGTTAATGATTTGTTGGGGATGTTCCAACATAATTTCAAAATTGTTATGTACCAAGGTAAAGCCTTAATTTGTGTATGTTTTAGCACAATAAGATTTATTGCTTCTGGGATGCTGTTTAGTTTGTATTTTGTTGAACGTTTTCCTCATAGGAAGATAAACCTGACTTCTATACTTAGATCATTTATTATACATTAAAAAGCTGTTCTTTCAGCATTCGAGCTATAAATGAATGTTATCTTGTGGGATAAACAATCTAGTTTTTAGCTATATGAGCCATGTTTATTATGGTGCTAATGTTCAATAGCTACCTTTGAATAATTTCTCCATTTTATATGATGATGTGCTAGTGGCAGAGCTCACCAGTTCATGCCCAGACATGTTATAGGGCTTGGGCCCTCCAGCTAGCTCTTTTGGGATTTTGAGTCCATACTTTTTTGATGTGCTTTGGTGGGAGGTATAAAATAAGTATCTGGATTTCTAAGCCCAAGAATTTTAGAATTGACCCTATGAGTGAAGAATTTTGGAGCTCTGTAAGACCTCTTTAGCAGTAGTGATCTCAAACCAGTTAGCTCCAAGCTGCCTTCCCAGGTAACTGTTGGGAGCAATGGCATCACTGCATGCCCCTGGAATGGCTGGAAAGGATATGATCTTGTAAATAGGAAAGCTGTTACTTAAGAAAAAAATTGTATTGTTTACCTATTAGCCATGTATCTCTTGAAATCATTTTGTCATGTATACAATGATGTACCTTATTGGTAACAAATTATTAGTTTTTTTGTTTAACAATAGTGCCTTTAGTAAATTATTTTACAACCAAAACATGTTGTTTTTTTGTTAGATCAACTTAGAATGTAGAAGTCCATGTTGAGATGTACAGTAAGAAATCTAAGTTTCTGTTCATTGTCTAGGTTTTAGTTTTGTTATTTTAATAGACTTATTTTAGATTGGTTTTAGGTTCATAGCAAAATTGAGCATAAAGTACAGAATTCTCATATACCCCTTGACCTCACACACACACAGCAGATTTTAGTTGTAAAGGATTAAAAAGTAAAGGTCTGGGGCCAGCCTGGTGGCATAGTGGTTAAGTTTGAGTGCTCCACTCCAGCGGCCTGGGGTTTGCAGGTTGGGATCCTAGGTGTGGACCTGCACACTGCTCACCAAGCCACGCTGTGGCAGCATCCCACATACAAAATAGAGGAAGCTGGGCACAGATGTTAGCTCAGGGCTAATCTTCCTCAGCAAAAAGAGGAGGATTGGCAATGGATGTTAGCTGAGGCCAATCTTCCTAACGCCCCCATAATAGTAAAGGTCTAAGTTACTTTATTTCTTTCTCACGAATTTTTACATTGAATTAAGTATTGCAACAAGTATACCATTACAAACAACATAGCTTCCAGAGTTATTTTTAAAATAATCCCACTAAAATTAGGTGCTAAAATGTATAGCAGTTAACCTAAGTATAAAGTAATCCTTGAAATTAAAAAAAGCTAGACTCGGGTATCTTGACCACATAAATCTTTAATGAGGTATAATTACGTTAACAGTTGAGGTAAGAACTTGCATAGGTGTTTAATAAATGAACAGTTTTAAACCTTAGCCATTTAATACTCAAGCTGTATTTTTGGCATAAATGATTTGTCTGTTCAGTGATAAATTCTCATTGCACTTCACAATCAGCTGCCTCAGATGACTTGTTCACTGAAATTTAAGGAGAATTTGCTAATAGAGGACCTTTTCAAGCTTACACTTATAGATGATCACTAGCAGACAAGAGCATTCTACAGGATATTACCATTCAATAAAATTTCAACCTGCAAGCATACTTAAGAAAAAAAGGGATAAATGGTCTTCCAGTGGTTAACACTGAGCTAAGATCTTACATAGCTGATCTGCAGAGGTTAGTGGATTCTCCTCTTTCTGAATAAAATTAAGTTAGCAGCAGTGGCATTTTAAAGATATCTAGTAAGATTATTAGGGAAGAGCAAAGAGTATTTCATACTATATTTTTAATAAAATGCAAGTTTAGATAATTTTTAATTAAAAAAAAAGGGCCCAGTGTTTGACTAAGAGGTTCTTAGTATTCACATAATCCTAGCAAGAGTAAGTAATCCAGGTTTTAGTTATTTAGAAAAATAAGATGCTGAACATGTTGCCCAGTTGCCAATTTTGAAATTTTCTTCTCTGCTCTATGCAATTTTCTTCAAGACTTATTTTTTTTCCTTTACTAAAAATTTCAAGATATGATATGGTACAAAGCTTTAAGAGCTCTAATGTTAAACATAAAACGAACTCATATCCAAGTTAAACTGTACTTGCATAATCATAATACACTATTTGCTAAATTCAAATTTTTGATATGACTACTTTATTAGAATCTAGACAAACCTGTTTGCTGCCAGACAAATCATCATTATAAGTCCCATCCAGTGTTGTTTTCATGTTCATATTTCTGAAGTCATTTAAACAATTTATAAAGCTGTCATTTTCATTTGCATACAGTTTGACTATGCCAAATAAAGAACAATTATTAAAACTATAAATTTTTGAAAAAATGAAGTTCCATTAACTGAAGTAATGTCTATTCTGACCCTGTAACACAAAGCCTCAGGAATATCAATGAGTATGACTGATTAATATTTAGGTGATACCTTGATATTTCACTTTGAATAGTAGTTTTAACTCCCTTCAAGGGGCAAAGGTGATTTCAATATACAAATATTTTTTTGGTAAGACTGCTAGTGAAGAAAATGTCTAATTTTCTATCTAATAAGAATTTGTATAGAAAATAGCTACAAAAGATAAGAATTGTATAAAATGATGCCACCTGAACTTCTTCAGTAGATTGCACAAATTCATGATCTGAGCCAATTAAGACATTAAAATATAAAAGAGGTAACACCAGTCTGAAGTAAACACTAAAAGTTTTAAAACTCCTAAGTACTTGAAAAAAGTTTAGTTACCGGCTGTCATTGATATGCACTTATTTCTGCTAACTTTGTAAAAAGAGTTTTGTTGTAGTTAGATACAAAATGTATAAACACAGTGTACACTGATTCATAAGTAAAAAATAAAAACAAGCTCAAAATTATAAATCAGCCCTTTAAAAAAAGTATATATACAGATCATAAGAACAAAGCCCCACTGTCTTTGGATCAGCTAAGGATTTCATTAGAAGAGGTATCAGCTTCTTCATTGGGATGTTGGCTACCAGACAGGAGTTCTGGAGGCAAGAGTTTAGAATGTCCATTCTCAGCAACTCGCTGGGTATAAAACAAGATGTAAGCTTGGGCCTTGCATACTTCATCCATGGTGCACACGCTTAGCTTGGAATCATTGCAGTGTACCCAAAACCCTAGAGTGAAGCACAGAAACATACCTTAATGTTTATAAAGGAACTTGAGAAATTTCGAGCATGAATTATAACTTAAAAGCATTAGTTTCAGTGAGAGTTAAGCTTTTTTTGAAGGGAAAATAATCATCTAGCCAATTCATTTCTTTTAATGAGAAGTACTAGCTTGGGCAATATGTTACTCTGGAATTATCTACCTTTATCCTAGAAGTAATTTGAAGTTATAGAATGTTACTGATAAGTTGACATAACACTATCTTTAATTCCTGGTATAATCTTACCAGTTAATGCTTTTGCTACTAATCATACTATAAAGCAAATAGTGTACAACCAACTCTTGGTAGTTTAGTGTTAAATTAATTGCCTCTCTGGATTATCTGGGCTTTTTGTCCACACCTCTTTTCTATTTGTTTAGGGGGGTGGGGGCGATAGTGTGAGGCAGGAGACTCAGTCTATTCAACAGTAGGTAGGGAAAGGGGAAATAAAAAGTGAACCTAAATCCAATGACTTTTGCTATCTATGAAGACTATGCTAGAATAGGGCCCATGGAGGCAGTAAGTGAAAGTGAGTTTTATATGTTAAAATCTGAACTCAAAGTTTGTTCCAAGTATCTGTGATCCTACAGTTCATTAGATGCTCTGTTCTTTAACAAAATTAACTGAATTAAACCAGTAAACAGAGAACCTGCTCTTGGAAATGTGCCTTTAAGAAAAGATAGCACTCTTTCTGACTTTTAAGTAACAAGACCATCCTCATTATCCTATCCTATCCCTACAGCTCTTAAAAGTCAAAACTACTGCAATCCCACAGAAAATAAAATATCCCATTTTCTGCACAAACCCTCAGAATCAACAATACTGCAGAACCATTCTTCTTAAAAGAAAACAAGAGGACAAGTGGCTTTGCTTATTAAGATGATTTAGTGGCCACACCGCTCAAGCCTGAACTCCAAGTCTAATCCAAGATAAAATACTTTTTCCCGTCTATACCTCCTTCAGAATTATAGCAGTAGGCAGTATAGTGTCCTGAGCCAAATCCTTTCCCATGGTGCATTACTACAGCAGACAGGTCATAGACAAAACATTCTGGTCTGAGGGATTTCAGGGACTCCCTGCAGCAATAGGGCTCCATGTTTAAGATTTCTTCAAAGCCAACATGAACACCAATCTTCTCTCGGTGGTTACGTCCTGACCACCTGTGAACAAACCAGGGTAAAATTATCAACAAAATCAAGGGAAAATAACCAGTTCAGAAAGTCAGAATAATAGAAGGCCTCAGAGGGTATAGAATACAAAGTATCATCTATAAAACATAATGTAAATATAAAAGCCTTTCAGTGCTGAAGTTGGCTACAAATGGAGGAATTTAGGTTTATTTACCAAACAGGTCCAGTCAGATTTTAAAGTAAATATTTGCCTTCTATAGTTAGATGATAATATAGGAAGAAAATTAACTTTCAGAAAAGGAAATTATGGCATATGACATTTTCCCCCTCCTAAAATCAATTCAAGGGTTTTCAATTCTTTATTGTCTTGTCATAGCATAAGGAGGGTGTCCCAGAAGCTAGAATTTGTTCTTGGGAGACATATCTGGACTTTTCTTGGCCAGATGTGGAGAAAAAGCAGAACAAAATAGGCTACCTCTAATTCCTCAGAGCTCTTCAGACTAAGAAAAAATAGGAACTGTGACCCTTCCCTGTGTGTAAGTCAGCACAACTTAGTGACCAAACTCAAATAATGCCCCTGTACTGCCATTTTCTCAATCTGTTGGTCATGCTTCCCAGTACTGGATCTAAGCATGGCAAGCAATGTTTTTATCATACACATAGTATAAGCTGGTGCTATGGGGGAAAAATAATGTAATATATGGTAGTTCTTTCAAGAGATTATACTCCAATTTGGGGTGGTGTGGAACGGAGACAACAGACAGACATGGATGAAAATATGATAGTATTAAAGTACTAAACCATGAGGTTAAGAAAAACAACACCAGGTAGAGAAGGGAGAAAGGAATATACACAGGTTTTATGAAGGAAAAAAATAAATGTAAAAATGTTTAGGGCCAGCCCGGTGGTGCAAGCGGTTGGGTGCGCGCGCTCCGCTGCGGTGGCCCGGGGTTCGCCGGTTCAGATCCCGGGCACGCACCAACACACCGCTTGTCAAGCCATGCTGTGGTGGTGTCTCATATAAAGGAGAGGAAGATGGGCATGGATGTTAGCCCAGGGCCTGTCTTCCTCAGCAAATAGAGGAGGATTGGCAGATGTTAGCTCAGGGCCGATCTTCCTCAAAAAAAAAAAAATGTTTATTAGTACAATGTAAAATGGCATGTAACTAAAGGTGAGACTTACAAATTATATTATCTGCTGGACTAGAAGTCATATCCCCATTCTTCTCCATAAATGCATAAACTATAACACTATATCCAAACTTGACAGTGGTTTACTTCTGAGGAGAGGGGAATGGAATAGGACTGGGAAGCACACACAGGGAGCTTCTAAATGTTCCATTTCTTATGCTTCTTCAGAGGCTCCTATGTGTCCCTTCCCATTCTCCCTTTTATCTTTTATATACCCTATATATTTTATATACTGGCAAACACAATAGTACTCTTTGAATAGATGAAGAAAAGGGAGAAAGATAAATGTGGTGGTAAAGGCAGTATAAACAAAGTCTCTGAATCAGAAATAAATAAGGCATGAACAGTCAAAAATATTTTGGGCAGAAGATGGAAAGGAATAGAGTCAAATAGGTTTAAATTAAGGAGAGCTTCAAATGCCAGATTAAAGTAGGAATTTTGAAGAACAGGAGGTTCTTAAACAGTTTATAGTAGCCAATTAAGTAACAAAAATTTAAGTTCTTTCAATTCTATCTTTACAGAATCTCATACATGTTCTCACCTCTCCAGGCTTACCTGACCCTGGAATACTATATTAACCTCGTAACTAATCTTTCTGTTTTCATTCCTCTTGATTTTATATACAATGGCAGGTCTCACCTGACTTTTTACTAAACTTTTTGTTGTACACCCTTCCCTGTTCCTTCCTGCATACCTTTGTTCATGTTGCTCCCTTGGGCTAAAGTGCTTCTCCTTCTGTATACCCCATTCATTCACTTAATAAATATTTTTGGGCATCTACTATGTGTGGAGCTTGGTTCTGGGCCTTGGGATACAGGAATGAAAAAGACAATATCCCTGACATTATTGAGCTTCTGTTCCACTGGCAGGGAGAGAGAAATAAGTAAACTACTAATGACAGATAACGTTTTTTGTCATTAAGCAAAAATAGGGTAATGCGATACTGAGAGTTGGGGGGGTGCTACTTTTAATTTTAAATAGGATGGTCAGGGAAGTCCTCTCTAAGGAAATGACATGAACTGAGACTTGAATGATATAAAACCCCCTAGGCCATTAGAGAGGCCTTTGGAATGTGCAGACATCAGCTAACTCCCTCCTTGAAGTCTCTGATAAATCAGTGTGTATATAGTTTGTGATACTTAGTATTTCTACTTCACCATTACTTCTGTACATGCCTGACTAATCTTGAGAAAAGGATCCTACCTTATATTCCCAAAGAATATAGAACAACATCTTGCATTAAAAAGCACTCACATGATTATTTGCTAACTGTACCTTTAACAGCTTCAATAAATAACTGAAAATCACTGACTAAGGTTAACAGTGATTATCTCTGGGAAATAGGGCTAAGAGGAAAGAGGTACTTTACTTTAGCTTCTGTATTGTTTGAATTTTTTATAAACATGAATTCCTTTAATTACTAAAAACAAAAACTAAACCAGCAACAACTAATATGTATGAGAAACATGGTCTCAATAGTTTTAAAATCATAGCATATAAAGTAACCTCTCACTCCTTAAGAGAACGATAAGCTCTAAGGTTAACATGGTTATTGCAAGGTATGAAACCATATGCTTTGATTAACCAATAGATTTGCCAACTAATTCACCTGACTAAATATATTTCTGAAGACTAGTTTTTTTTTTAACTGCTTTGAATTGAGCTGTTATACTTTTGTTCAGTATTTTCCAAGGATGAAACAATTGGTCCAAATACTCTTAATTTATAGATTAAATTTAAAAATTTTACACCTAAAATAGGCTGAATATTAAACACTATAAGCAGAAACTTACAAGGAGAATAATATTACCTAGCGGACCAAAATGTGAGGGGTCTGCTGATCAGCAACACATTCTACAAGGGAAGCTAATCAGAAGGTCAGTTATTGAATATCCTGTCTACTGGTCAAGGCTAGAGATGACAGAATTAAAAAAAAAAAAAAGTAGATGTAAGTCATCTACTAGCCAAGTAGATAGTACTAAAATTTAATTCATCATGTGTATTAAGTTTTGAAGCACTTTAAACAGAAGGAATGATCAAGTTAGAAGTGTATAGCTGGTAGGCAACTGGTAATACTACGATACGACTACTAACCTGAATCGTTTGAGATGTAGTCTGAGAACCTGAGGTAGGTGGCAAATCATAAGCTGCTTTTGGGCTTCTGTGAGTACAACTGCTTTTGAGGAAAACCTTCTACGCTTTGCTGTGATATCAAAGAATGAGAATCAAATTTAAGGATAGAAGGAAAAGCTGATTAAACTAATTCAGACATATGTTATCAATTAAACATCTACTGTGTTAGAGGCATTGTGCTGTGCTAGAGATAACAACATGGCCTTGCCCTCAAGAAACTTAAAATTACACAATAAAAAAAAAAACTTATGAGCTAGTTAAGGTAGACAGACGTAAACGAATAGGTACGTGATTTAATATAATCCTGCAAATAAAGCAACAGAATGATATAGTGCTATAATATTTAAAAGTGGATTTGGCTATGCCAATTAATAGGAAAAGTTAAAACTCTCCCTAAACATACTTTAATATACTCTTCACAAACTCTTTTTTTTAATTTTATTTATTTATTTATTTTCCCCCAAAGCCCCAGTAGATAGTTGCACGTCACAGTTGCACATCCTTCTAGTTGCTGTATGTGGGACGCGGCCTCAGCATGGCGGGAGAAGTGGTCCTCAGTGCGCGCCCGGGATCTGAACCCGGGCCGCCAGCAGTGGAGCGCACACACTTAACCGCTAAGCCACGGGGCCGGCCCCCTCAAACTCTTAATTAAAACAAGTTTCATGGTCAGTTTATTCATTGGGGGTCATCGGGATCCCCAGGGGCACGGATCCTTATTGCCCAGAACAACCCCCTTCCTGGGGATCCACCCCAGCCCTGGCCAAGGCCTGAGAAAGCAGGCCTTTACTAGCTCTGTATCTGAGGCCTCCCTCAGTGTCTTGCTTTTGCTAATTTAGCACCAGTTCTTCAACAAGTGGAACTTCGGATTCTTTTTGTTATCCCCTCTGTTCCCCTTGAGGTCCACCTATGGACTGTGTCCTGCAGCTTCTGGCTGAGCCATTGGCTAGCAAAGTTTGCTCTTGATGTCCAGGAGCTGTCCTTCAACTTGTACACCAACTCCGACTTCAGCCATAGTAGCAGCTGCTTCTCATGTAGGAGGTGGAATCAGTCCACCATGAGGCTGTCCTTTAAGCCATCTCCACTTGCCTCCAGAAGCCTTTCCTCCAGGTCTGTGCCTGTGAGTGAGATCCAGGTTACCTGGCTGCTACTGAATGTCCTGACCTTCCTTTGGATTGTCTCAGAATATATGGTCCAAGTGTAGCTAGACAAGGGATGTAAACTCCTTGACTTATATTTGCCTTTGTATAACTCCTTGTAACAGAGTTCATATTAGACAGCACTCAGAAAACAATGTTAGTATAAGTCATTCTAGAAAACCATCAATTGATGACATTTTTTCAATGCTGGAACATCCAATGTTTCTTATATATTACTTTAGAAGTTTGGTATCTAAAGCCCTAAAATCATTTTTTCAGACCTGGAAATTAGAGAGAATACCTGAAAATATATAGTATAAACACTAAAATGCCATGTACACATTGATAGAGGAGATAGAGATACCAGATAAAGACACACAGATCTGACGTGGTTTTATATACCATTTTCCTGGAGGATGATGCGTCTCTTTAATTGAAATGGCTGTTGGGTTCCTGTGCTCACCTCTATTAGAAAGCTTATCATAGTAGATCTTAATTGTCTGTTTCCTCCATTAGGTATGTGAGCACCTTAAAAGTGTCTTACCTCTATCCATAGCAACTAGAACAATGACGAATATAGAAGACAGTCAGTTTCTGAATAAATCTTTGTTTTTATGAAGCCAATCTCCACAGCAGCAGTCCAGCTATATATTATTTCCTATTATACAGGTATGTATACACACACACGTTATCTATCTATCAATGTTTTGATACGTAGCAAAAAGATTCATAAAGCAAACATTTCATTCAGTACTAAATAACAGGCTTGCCTTTTACTATTCCCTTTTGCTACTTTATTCTGTCTAACGTATTAAATTTAAATTTCTTATTTTATGAATCCTCTCTCCACAATTGACTACAGGATCAAAAAAATTTTTAATGTCATCAATAAAGCAAAACAAATACACAGTTCACAAATGCCACTTATAAAGCAGAAATATCTAGCGCAATTTCTTTAGATGAATTAACAGTTTATTTCCATAACTGCTACTTAAGGAATTTCTTCTAGTTTCCTCTCATTTGTGTTTCTCTTTGCTAATCTTAGAAAAGCAAAGAGAATCTACAGTCTCTACTTACAGTTACAATGATCACACATGTAGATTTTTCCTTCTAAAGATTCAGTTTCTGTGAATTTGGCCAACATTTCAGTAACCAGACATGGCTGGGAAGCAGTATCTTTTCCACTGCACTGGTATCTTGCTGGAAATTCCAGTGACAAGTCCCAGAAAGGTTCTATGGTATTTGATTTGTTGTCACATGCAAGACATGTAACCTGCAAATAAAAATTTTAGTTTCTCAGATTACAATCCTCTTATAAAAACATTTACTCCTTTCACTAGAGGTCACTGCCCATAAATAAGCTTTTCTTCTGAAAACACACCATCAGAATTCTGAATAATCTGCTTTATATTATTTTCAGGGTTTTTTTTTTTATTATTATAATTTTTCCTTCCAAAAGACTATCATCATTAATTACGCATTGGTGGGCTTTAACTACTAGGCATTCAAAAAGCTCCAAGGGCATTAGTCAAATCTGAATTTAGGTAAAAAACCAAACTGTGGGGCCAGCCCCGGTGAACTAGTGGTTAAGTTCAGCGTGCTCCTCTTTGGCGGCCCGGGTTCGGTTCCTGGGCGCAGACCTACACCACTTGTCTGTCAGTGGCTGTGCTGTGGTAGTGGCTCACATACAAAAAGAGGAAGATTGGCAGCAGATGTTAGCTCAGGGTGAATCTTCCTCAGCAAAACAAACAAACAAAATCAGACTGTGGACTCATTTAACTAGATATACATTATGTGTGTGTGTACAGACACACACATATATGTGATATATATGTATATGCATTTAATTTAATGTGCTTAGACTTGAGGTTCTTTGCCATTTTCCCTTGCCCATCTTTCACTGATTTTCTCTCCCCTAATCCCTATAAACTCTTAACCATAATACAAATAAAATACTCTTAGTACATTTTTATATATAGTATATTAATATATACAGATTTTAAAGCCCTACCAACTGATAATTGCAAAAGACAATACATATAAATAATGATGTTATACTCCCACCTAAAGCTAACATCACTACATTAAAATTCTCGTCAAAATATAGGAACCACAGCAGCCGGCCCAGTGGTGTAATGGTTAAGTTTGCGTGCTCTGCTTCGGCGGGCTGAGGTTTGCAGGTTGGGATCCCAGGCGTGGACCTGCACGCCACTCATCAAGCCATGCTGTGGCAGGCGTCCCACATATAAGGTAGAGGAGGATGGGCACGGATGTTAGCCCAGGGCCAGTCTTCCTCAGCAAAAAGAGGAGGATTGGCAACAGATGTCAGCTCAGGGCTAATCTCCCTCACCAAAAAAAAAAAATATATATATATATACCACAAAGAATATGGGACAGTTCTAACAACTTACATAGGAAATATAGTAACTGTAAAGGGAAAGAATAATAACTTCAGTGAAAAATTCAGCAGGATTTAATGCCGACACTGCACATAATCGAAGCCAGACTTGATAGATACAATAATCCACACATGATATGATATATTACTAAGCTCTTTCACATGAGCTACATTCGTACACAGGCAACAAAATAAAGAAGCCTGGTGGTGCAGCACTTAAGTGTGCGCACTCCGCTGCAGCAGCCTGGGGTTCGGATCCCGGGCGTGCACCAATACACTGCCTGTCAAGCAATGCTGTGGCGGCGTCCCATATAAAATGGAGGAAGATGGGCACGGATGTTAGCCCAGGGCCAGTCTTCCTCAGTAAAAAAGAGGAGGATTGGCGACAGATGTTAGCTCAGGGCTGATCTTCCTCACACACACACAAAAAAAGGAAGCCAGTTCTAAAGTAGATTTTAGATTTAACAAATAGCCACAAAGCAAAAAAGAATACTCCCGGTATTTAGTCTGGGAACTCCCTAGGGCCAGGGTTTTACCTTTTGAGAACAGTTTCTTGAATTAAAAAAAAAGCCATTCCAGCAACCAACCATCCTAATCTCCTGAGATGACCAGTTTCTTAAGAGTTTATTACATGTTTAAAAGGAAGAAAGCAAAAAGCTGGTCTAACAATTTTTATTAATTTCAAAATTCATCCATAAAGGAAAAAACAAGCACATAGCCACTCGCACACCATTTGAAATATAAAATGGTAACTTTCCGTAAAGAAATTTGTAACCAAGTATTAAAAGTCCTACCCTTTGACAAAGTAATTCTACTTCTAGGACTCTATATTAAGGAAATCACTACAAAAAATGTATTAATTGATCATAACATTATAATAATGGAAAAACTGGAAGTACTTTAAAAGTTGACAATAGGAGAATGGTTAAATATTATGGTATATACATATGATAGACATTAAAACAGTGTGAAAAGAATGATCAAATATTTTAATGACTATGAAAAATCTTTACATTGTTAAAGGAAAATATTTTAAAAAGCAGGTAATTCAGGGGCCGGCCAGGTGGCACAAGCGGTTAAGTGTGCGCTCTCCGCTGTGGCGGCCTGGGGTTGGCCGGTTCGGATCCCAGGCGCGCACCGACGCGCCGCTTGTCGGGACATGCTGTGGCGGCGTCCCATATAAAGTAGAGAAGATGGGCATGGATGTTAGCCCAGAGCCAGTCTTCCTCAGCAAAAAGAGGAGGATTGGTAGATGTTAGCTCAGGGCCGATCTTCCTCACAAAAAAAAAAAAAAAAAAAAAGCAGGTAATTCAACATGACCACACAATTAGGGGGAAAAATATGTATAAATGTGCAGAAGAAAAAAAATTGGAAGGAGATATACCAAAATATTAGTTTGTTGTGTGTGGGGGGTGTTATGGGATTAGGGGATGATTTTTCTGTTCTTATGCATAGATTTATTGTATCATGTAGGTTTTCTACAACTATATATTACTTTTATTTATAATAGTGTATTTTAAACTTTTGCATAAAAAGTTAGAAATGATAGGGGCTGGCCTGGTGGCCTAGCGGTTAAGTTTGCACACTCCCCTTCTGGTGGGCCCGGGGTTCGCAGGTTCGGATCCCAGGCGCAGACCGATGCATCGCTTGTCAAGCCATGCTGTGGCAGTGTCCCATATAAAGTAGAGGAAGATGGGCACGGATGTTAGCCCAGGGCCAGTCTTCCTCAGCAAAAAGAGGAGGATTGGCATTGGATGTTAGCTCAGGGCTGATCTTCCTCACACATACACAAAAAAAGTTAGAAATGATAGAGAAGGATGGTGGAAAAATAAAATTGCCTGTAACACAAGAAGCACAAACTCTTATTTGCTAATTGGCACAATGTAGAATCTTTACATTTCTGAAACAATAAGTGAAATAAACTTCAAAGATATTTCCTAAGAAGAATTACATTGGAAATAGTTAAACTACATTCCTAAAAAGTATGCTATAAAAATGATGATATCATTACTATGAAAGTTGAACTGAGGAACAGAGGCAGGTGTGCAGGGGTAAGGAAATGACCTAACAGCTCAATTGCCTAAGTTAAAAAAAATTCGGGGACTGGCCCCATGGCAGAGTGGTTAAAGTTCCACATGCTCCGCTTCAGTGGCCCAGGTTTGCAGGTTCAGATCCCAGGTGCAGACCTACACCACACATCAAGCCATGTTGTGGTGGGGATCCACATACGAAATAGAGCAAGACTGGCACAGATGTTAGCTCAGGACTAATCTTCCTCAAGTTAAAAAAAAGAGGAAGACTGGCAACGGATATTAGCTCAGGACAAATCTTCAGCAAAAAAAAAAAAAAATATATATATATATATATATATATATATATTTTTTTTTAAAGCTCTATGCTATGGAAACGTAGAGAGCCTTATGTCTAGTAATAGTCTACCAACAAGTCCACTCGTTTTAGAGAACTGTTAATTAGAAGGAAGATTCTGATTTTGTGATTCCTTTTCACAAGGGAAACTTTTGCAGCTGTAATTAACATAAAGGAAAACCATTTGGATTATTCTAGATGAAATTACATTTATTTACTTTAAAATTTTCCTACCTACTTGTTAAAGCCTTCAGACCTTGCCCCCCTTGGTTTTACAGGAAGTCCTCCAGGGCTTCTCCTTGGTCCTTGAAATTACTCAAGTGTGTACCAAATCCATTCCTAGTATAGCAGAATCTTCAGATCTGTTTCCTATGGGATTAAACCCTCCTCTTCTCAATCTCTCAGAGAATGACTCTAATATTAACCTAAGAAGTTCTGTTTTCTGATTCCCTCTTCTCACAAAAAAAGGTTTGATACTATGGAGGTAAAACTACTTCCAATGATTCCTGAAGGAAACAATTATAAATGAGTGAGCAGACTTCTCTATACATATTCGTAAAAGCGATCTATTTTGATCTGAAAATAGTACTAGCTCTAACACACTAGATATAGAAAGAATACGCATTTTTTAGGCTTCACTTTATGAATTCCCCAAGATGAAAATAAGATTTAAAAAAATCCATACCTGACTAAGAAGTTGTCCATGAAAAATGTTATTAACAACATTCAGAACTTGTTTGATAAGTTTCCTTTGAGAAGTGGGGATGAGAGCTGGTAACCTGGTACCAGTTGTCTCTAGTTCATGTTGTATTTTATCCAAAAGTTCACAAAGAAATTCCTGAGCATCTTGTTGGGCATAACCACGAAAAGCAGGAATTAGTCTCCACACTGAGTGTAGCATAGCAAATGGTGAGACCAAGGCCCACTTTCCAGACCACATGACTTGGAACAAAATATGCAATTCATGACAGAGAGAAATGTATTGGGAACTTGGCTCCCGTGGCTGAATAAGTTCCATCTTTCTACTCTTTGATGCTCCACCGCTTAGTCCTGATGATAAACTTGGATGTCTAGAGCGAAAAGATCCTGTATCTTTTTCTTGGTATTCATTCATTTGATATACTGTATCTTTGACTGGTGGATGCTTATAAGATGATCTTGTCTTATCACTAGCTGTCACAGCCAGCCATCGGTTCAGATCAAGTTTTAAAAAACACTGTCGAAAAATAAGTAAATGACTCAACACTTGAAGAACAGAATTCATGTAGCAAGTATTTCCCAAATTTCTCAACCCTGTTACACCAGGAGTCACTATTGGCCTTCGTTTAACTGAGAAGTCACTGGCTTTTTTAAATCTTACATCTTCTGAGGTAGATACTACTTTATCTTTTGCTGGTGAGGCTGGGGGTGGTAGTGGTACTTGAACAGGAACTATTTCTACTGTGGTGGACTGGGCTAGACCTTGCAAACGTAAACTCTTTCTTGGAGGCATATTTTCCAATTCTGCTTTAACTTGATACTCTAATTCTTGCCGTCTTTTCTTCACTTCTGTTTTTGCTGCTATTTTTTCCCGAAATTGTTCTTCTTGCCTTTTTCTTCCAATGGGTGATTGTTCAAACCAAGTTCGAAAGATTTTACCCATTAGCATCCTTCTCCTGTGCCAAAGGGCAGTATACATTTGATCTTCATTTTGAAGCAAAGATTGGGTGGCATCATGTATGAAATAAGAATCATCACTTGTACCCATAGACTGTAAAACCCTTCCACTACGAGTGGTGCAGTGATAATTTTGACTTTTGATTGCACTTAATGTACTTCGTAGTAACTTCAGGTCTCCAGTTGCATTATCATTAAGAACATAATCATCACAAAAGTAACAAAACACATACATCTCATTCACCTCCAATGCAACAGGATGACTGCTTTCTTGAAAGTGCTTGAGAGCATGTTCTTCAATATATCTTCCACAGGCAACATGGGAACAGCTAAGGCAAGCCCAAATCGACTCAGTTGTATTGCAGTCCACACAATGCCATTTCTGAGGGTTGAGGATGGAATGGTCTTGAGCAAGCCGCAACTGACCAATGTGTTGGCACTTATCCATTGTTAACATTTATTTAGTCTAGCTGAGAAACACATAATCTGAACAAGTCTCTGTTCACAACACTTGAAGCATCTGAAAACTAAGCAAAACAATGTCAATTTTTAATAAAATAAAAACAAGAAGCCAATATTTTTCTTTTTTATAAAGTATTTTTCCAAGAATAATTTTATAAATTTGCTCCCTCTACTCCCAGTTTCTGGGCTGCCTGTCATAATACCACAGGCAGTTCTTACTTTTCCCCTGCTCTAGACTTCTCTAATCTCTCAACCACCTCGCTCTGAAAGAACACATGCTTCACTTTACTTTCTCTGATGGTTTTCCTTTAAAAACTTTGTTTTTTATTTTCTGCCACCATCTACTGGTGAAAAATGGGTAGTGACCACTTTTCACTGAACTAGAATGAGATCCATCCTCTTTTTACCCAATAGTCTGAGGGCAGTTTACAAAACTACATTCCTTTTCTTAAAAATTGGGGCTGGCAAGACCCAAATATATCTCACTAATATGTACATTCTGAGAGCCCTATGTGGAATTACTAAAGCATAATCATAGTTAAGAGCATGGGTTTTGAAGCAGAAAAACTTAGGTTTGAATTCTACCTCTGCCGCATACTGTTAAAAGTCTGATTTGAGCAAATATTTGAACTTCTCTAAACTTCATCTGTAAAATGGGGAAAAATCATACCAACTTCACTGAATTGTTGAAGAATTGAGATAACATAAAATATTTATGTGACACAAGGTAAACACTCAATAAATGGTAGCTAGAAAGAACAAATCTTAATATTTCATTCTATTTAAATAAATTATATTAAATATTCTACTTAATTATTACCATTTTAAATTTGGCTTTCCATTAGTAAATCAATAATGACCTTTATTATTTTTTTTTTAATTTTTATTTATTTTTTCCCCCAAAGCCCCAGTAGATAGTTGTATGTCATAGTTGCACATCTTTCTAGTTGCTGCATGTGGGACGCGGCCTCAGCATGGCCAGAGAAGCGGTGCGTCAGTGCACGCCCAGGATCCGAACCCGGGCCGCCAGCAGCGGAGCGCACGCACTTAACCATCCCGGGCCGCCAGCAGTGGAGCATGCGCACTTAACCACTAAGCCACAGGGCCGGCCCAATAATGACCTTTAATTCATGACTCTATAACATACTCTGACTTGATAGACTTGACAGTTTGCCTCAGGGAGAGAGACAGACAGGAGGGGAAAATGCTTTTGTGTTTGAATAGACTCTCAGGAATGTGCAAGGATGTGTAAGCAAATAAAGAGAAAAGAGGAAGAATATGAAGTGGTGGCAATATAATGAACTTTTACATTTTGGCAGACCTAAGCATTATCTGAAATTATAAGCTTATTCTGAAAAACAAACATACACAGATAAAAAAAACCCCAATATAATAAAATAAAACCTATATGAGTTTGACCTAGAAACTTGTTCCTTTATTAAAGTCAGGAACATTTCTGCTACAAGTACCTAAAACTAGTGAACTGAAATCTACTTAAAAAGTAGGAATCACAAAACATTATCTTCATTGATTTAGCAAAAACTGAACACAAATTTCAGGTCATAGGTGGGGACCTAGCTACAGAACACCCAGAACATTATATGTAGCATGATCAATGCTTTAAATTTTTTAGGGCAGCAAGACAATATGACTTTCAGTGGTACTTGCAGGTGCCACCGCTAGGGCCCTAAGAAAACTGCAAAGGTAAAGTTGATTTTTGGTTCCTTCCCACCTTTTTTTAGTAAAATCTCCGAGCAATCAGAGAGCCAACCCCCCCGCCCCTTTCTTAACTTTTAGATATAGGGTATCCAGAATATGGACTTGAGACTGACCAGTCCCAACCCTCACTTGTGGACACATTTTTCAGGCACACATTTTAAGTTTACTTCTCTTCCCTCAAAATCTCCTGAGGTCCAAAATCTGGCCAAATATAGTGTTTTGTCAGAATTCCTAGCATTCAACAATAGTTGCTAATGGCAAAATTAAGATATCAGTGATTAATATACTCCATTATCCTAAATTTTTCTAGGTACTGAGGCTAAAAATCTTAGACTCATCCTTGACTCCTTTTTTCTCTTCCCACACCAATCCTTCAGGAAAAATGGTTGGCTCTATCTTCACAATATATCTAGAATCTGACTACTTATTATCTCTACTTCCACCACCCTGGTCCAAGCCACAATCAAGTCTCACCTGGATTATTGCAGTAGGGCTCCTGAATGGTGTATCAGCTTTTGTCCTTGCTGCTACCAAAAGTTTACTCTCTCCACAGCAGCAGCATACTCTGCCTTTAGACCCAGACAACCAGGGCCCAGACCACAGTTTACGGGGCCCCTGCTCTGGCCCTCTCCCACCATGTGGAGTCAGCAGAGGCAAGGCGATGTGGCCACCTGGAACCTGCACATATCCCCAACTCCCCTTTTAGACCCATTCACTGGTAACTGGGACCTGGAGAATTCCCTGCCCCAATCATCCCCAAGCCTGCTTCCTGAGCCTACAGGCAATAAAAAGCCACTGAAGAACTCTGTAGAGGAGAATGACATGATCAGATATTTAGGTTACAGAGGGATCTGAATGGCAGGTCTAGAGGAGGGATGAGTGATTAAAAGCGACAGACATTACAAGGAAATTAAAGCTGTAGCAGCGTTGAAGCAAAGACTGGAACAGAGGTAGGTTAGTGCTGAACAAACATTGGTTGAAAGAACTGATTGAATATGGAGATTAAGAAAAGAATCTAGGGCTCTCTTCTATCTCTTTTTATTTAAAAAGGATCATATAAAGAACACAGAGATAATTAAACATTTGTTTCTGGCAAGTCATAGAAAATAATTATTAGTTCAACTTCTTGTAGAGATGAAGAGGGAAATGCCATTCATTTACACTCAAGGAAAATCATTTCATTCTAAAATTTTAGAGGTTGTATGAGTTGACACCTTGCACAACATTCAGAAAAGAAAGCTCAAAAGAAAAAAACCTAGAAAGAATATATATATTTATTCTGGGGTTATCTCTGAGTAGTGGGGACTACAAACTATTTTACTAATCCATATTTTCAAATTGCCAAAAGTAATGAACATGTTACTTGTATATTAAGTTTTAAGTAGGAAAGACAGTGCTGTGTATATGCTAAATTATACACTAGCCTCTTTACTCCCTTCTCATGTATATTCTGCAAATACATTCCCTTGGTTACAAGGCATTTGCCTATTTCATTGCACTTGTTACCAAAAAATCTATTTAGATGATGGCAAGGTCCCTGACCTTCAACAGGAAGTGACCCATAATTGAACAGCATGATTCCATTCAATGCAAAATTGTGAAAAGATGTCATCTCTGAGAGGCATTATAGCAGGGGAGAGGTATCACACCAAAATGGTTATAGAGGGCACATTCTGGAATCCAAATGCCTGAGTTTAACACTTGGCTGTATTTTACTATGAGACCTAGACAAATTATTTATACTCCACATACCTCAGTTTTCTTATCTGTAAAATAACAGTGGTAATAACACCAATAGGGTTGCTGAGGGAATTAGAGAAATTTATTTTTGTAAAGAACTTAGAACAATTCCTGTCACTTAATAATATGGCTGATGGTCTAGTGGTTAAGATTCCACGCTCTCATTGCCGAAGCCTGGTTTTGTTTCCTGGTCAGGGAACCACACCACCCATCTGTTGGTTGTCATACTGTGGCGGCTGCGTGTTGCTGTGATGCTGAAAGCTATGCCACCGGTATTTCAAATACCAGCAGGGTCACCCATGGTGGACAGGTTTCAGTGGAACTTCCAGACTAAGATAGACTAGGAAGAAGGACCTGGCCACCCACTTCCAAAAAATTGGCCATGAAAACGCTATGAATAGCAGGGGAGCACTGTTTGATACAGCGCCGGAAGGTGAGAGCATGGCGCAAAAAGACCGGGCAGGGTTCCGCTCTGCTGGACACAGGGGCGCTAGACGTCAGAATCAACTTGATGGTACTAACAACAAAAGGTAATATGGCCCTCAACAAATCTTAGCTGCCAATAATAATAATATTATTACTATTATAAATACTAGTTTCCTTCTAGTTTATCACTTTTAGCCAGGGGTTCATTCTTCTCAGCCAAGTGTGTACTAAGCCCAACTAAGGTGCTAACTGTTAATTAAGATGTTAGCTGAGAACTAAGGTCTGACCTCTCCCAGGGGTATTTGCATGTTAAAAGGGGATCTCTCAAAGATAAAATCTTTTTAAAAATCCAAAGAAGTGAAGCCAGAATGGTGGAATGACAGATCATGAGATTAATATTTTTGAGTAGGGGGCCCACGTACCCTGTCTACTTATGAAAGAAACCAGTAGGGGGTGGACGACCAAGGGAAGGGCAGGGAGGAAAGCTCGAGAGCCAGGCTGCTGCCACCAGAGAGATCCAGCTTGCTCTGCTGCCTAGAGCCAAAGCTCAGAGACAGTTACTAGGGTATCCCCAAAGGGGCCTCATCACACAAAGATCTAAAAGCTTGGAGGAAAAGAAAGGGGGATGGGAGTATTTTCTTGACACTTCCTATTTTCCTTTACTGGGTTCAGAGCACTTCTTTTCATTTGCTAATCCACTGCTGAGAAGCTACATATTAACTCTGTTTGGCTCCAGCCAAATGGATAAGTGATTTTTGGCAGTATATTCATTTTAAAGAAAGATAAAACATTTTTGCATCCCCCACGTAGATTCTGATAAAATAGTACCTGTACCTATATATAATAGCAACATACAAATACTCAAGATGTTTTGAATGAAATTTATATATAGAGATTAAAATTATACTATCATTTTCTCATACATTTAAAAAAATGTTTCACACTTGAAATTCCAATTAATAGCTATGAAATGGCTTTTTTAAACCAAGTATGCTATCTTTATTTTAAAGACAGATACATTTATAAATATTCTGAGCATCATTTTCATTTTTAAATTCCCTTCAGCAAATCTCTCAAGTTTAAGAAAATAATGTATCTGACTTGTTGAAAACTAATTATTTTATATAGAGTTAGCATATCATTAAAGCAATTATAAAATAGAAAGCTAAGATGACTAGAA